AGCCGTCCATTGTTCGTGCTGCCTAGAGTTTATGTGTAATTGTTGTTGAGTCTGTTAATGCTTGGCCTGGTTGCCAGTTCATGTATTTGTATCATCTTCATGCATACTTTTTCGTGTCATAATCATGTTCAAAGTATTTTATATTCACCTAACTTTTGACAAATTTATGATTTATGTTTTACAGATGTTGACATTTTCTTGTATTCATTTCATGTTTGATTTTCCTTTTTGTGTAGTGGCATGTTGTGTCTGATGGTGCCAGGTCCTTAGCTAGTGGAAGTGTAAGACTAGGTGAAAGATAAACAAGATTGCATTAACCACTTTAATTAGTTTCTTAGCAGTAGAAGGATTGATGGTGTTTTTTAGGTGATTCCTTGGTATTAATAGTCTGAGATGCCACTGTTCTCGAATTTTCCTTATTGTATGCTTAATCTGGCTCTTGATACAAGTCTTTTTTGACAATGTTGTTTGATTTGTGTAATTTAAGACTTATGAATTCCATCGTAAGCAAATTACTTCCTGTGGCTGGAGATCCTTTTTAAAAGGAAAAAACTCCCTGTATATTTATCGAGCATATGTCTATCTTGCTCCTTTGATGAATGGGTGTTCATGTGTCAATAGCTGGAGACTGGCTGCAGGGTCCATATGTTTACTTTCTTTACAGTACATATGGCTTTGGAAAAGGGGACATTGGACAGCTTTTCATTGCTGGTTTTGGATCCTCCATGTTGTTTGGGACAATTGTTGGATCTCTAGCTGACAAACAGTAAGTTTATTTTTGACTTATTTTGTAATCTTTTCGTACTTATGGATTAAACATCTTGTCGTAATACAAAAATTCCTTCACGTGTTCAATTCAGGGGCCGGAGGAGAGCATGTGTTACTGCATAACGTACATACTTAGCTGTATCACCAAGCATTCTCCTGAATACAAAGTTTTGATGGTTGGTCGAGTTTTGGGAGGTATCGCCACCTCTCTTCTGTTTTCAGCATTTGAGTCATGGCTTGTTGCCGAACATAATAAGGTGAGACACTACTTCTTTGCCCTTCTACTCTTAATACATATCAGACAAGCTTACAATTTGCATTATGAGCTTTTGCTTCTGTGCCCTCACTCATTTTCTTCTGTTTTTAGTATTTTAGATGCTGTATGTTACTCCCTGTCAGGTTGTTTCACAACTGCCACCGTCCCCTGGTTTAAAAGAAAAAACGCTAAAAATATTTTGTTTATATCTGTAATATTGCATATGATGCATAGAGAAATGCTAACTTTGTTCATGATTTTTCTATCTTTTTTTTAGAAGATGGTAAGGCACGGATCATTTAGTTCCGCTTAGCCACATTTTTTTATGAGCTTTATCTGTTGTAATTGATGTTGATATCTCTTTGAAGTTTATATCTTCTGCCGACAGTTACTTTATTGCTTCTATTCTTTGCAGAGAGGCTTTGAGCAACAATGGTTGTCACTAACATTTTCAAAGGCAATATTTCTTGGGAATGGTCTTGTTGCCATCGTGTCTGGGCTGTTTGGGAACCTACTTGTTGATTCACTTTCCCTTGGACCTGTGGCTCCTTTTGATGCTGCCGCGTGCTTTCTTGCTATTGGGATGGCCATTATTTTATCATCATGGACTGAAAACTTTGGAGACCCCTCAGAAAATAAAGACCTTCTTACCCAATTCAGGGGGGCTGCTATAGCAATTGCTTCTGGTAGAGTTCAATATTTTACTTTAAGCTCAATGCAATCATCAGGTTGACATGTAGCAAGCACGTATTGTTACTTGAAGCTTTGTTACATGTTATCAATCATCCACTGTAATGCATTTATACCTTACATTGTTTACTTCCGGTTCCCCTCAGTGTAGTATTCTTTGCAGATGAAAAAATTGCTTTGCTGGGTGCCATCCAGTCTCTGTTTGAAGGTTCGATGTATACCTTTGTGTTCCTTTGGACTCCTGCTTTGAGCCCCAATGATGAGGAGATTCCTCATGGTCTTATCTTTGCCACATTCATGTTGGCTTCAATGTTGGGAAGCTCACTTGCATCTCGATTAATGGCTCGCACTTCACCCAGGGTAGAAAGCTACATGCAGATTGTTTTCGTGATTTCCTCTGCCTCTCTCCTTCTTCCTATTGTAACTAATGTACTTCTCAACATCCCTTTCTTTGTGTGTATGTTGCGTATATATAATTCTTTAATTGTATCGTGACACGGATGCATTTGCAACAGTTCTTGGTGGCACCTTCTAAAGAGAAAGGTGGAAGTATCTCATTTGCAGGTTGTCTCCAGCTTCTCGGTTTCTGCACTTTCGAGGCGTGTGTAGGCATATTCTGGCCATCCATTATGAAATTGAGATCCCAATACATCCCGGAGGAGGCTAGGAGCACGATTATGAACTTTTTCCGCATTCCTCTCAATATCTGTCTGTGTCGTGCTGTACAATGTATGTTACAGGTTTTCCATGATAGATTCATTCCATTATATGCCACAGTCGAATAAATATATGCTGACAGACGCTCTAGGCTTTAACTCTGTTACTAATAACCGTGTTGACTTTTGCCTCTGAAGGTTGATGCATTTCCCATCACTATTATGTTCGGTATGTGCTCGATTTTCCTCTTCGTCGCATCCATCTTGCAAAGACGGCTGATGGCAATTTCCGACAAACCAAGTACGTGCAAACCTTACGCCACACTCCCCCCCCCCCCAAATGAACATTCTCAAAAAGCCAAATTTACATATTTTGCACAGCCTGCATCAACCCGAAACATTCTTCATTCTCCTGCCATTTCTCCATGCATATTCGAGGCTATTCTGTTCTCAAACTTTTGGTGGCTTTTCTTTTTCCTTGCAGAGACGGAAAGTTGGACAGCCATGGACCCTGAGGCCGAGCCACTGAATGACTGAGTGACGGTGAACGGATGGATGGACGATTAGGCCTGTGGACCATTAAGTACCGTATGCAGGTCGGGGAAAAAACCAACAACGGTAACTTCATTCCTTGTACCGTTGCAATTCCTACTTGTTTGATGGAAGATTGTAGTTTTTGATTTTAAGAGTAGAAGAGATTACAATATATCCTTAACAAAATAGTGGTCTGCCCAGTAAAGGAATTGAGGTCACTTAGTTTCCATCATTGTTCTTCGGCTGTTTGTCAGTAGATCACATTACAGTAATTAAAATCCCTTTCAATATGCTTTATTTTTCCTTTTCTTTTTAGTTTAGCTTCATTATTTTCATTGAAAATAAAATAAGAAGAGAGATTGTAAATATGAAAATTAAATCGATATTGGAATATTTGTAAAATGGCATTAAAAGATATGCTTCCATTACAATAGCTACAACAAATAGAGAAAAAATAATTATTTTCATAATAAATAAAGATATTTGAAGTTGATATATATTGGCCGATGACATCCTCCACCTTGTGGGAGCAAAAGTTGAGGCAATTTTTTTATTAAATACAAGATATTATTTATTCGAAAGATTTTCAATTATTTGACAGTAAAAGTTATATACATTAATATATGCGGTGTTTGAATCTGGGATCTCAATGAATAATAATAATATCTTAACCATTAAACTCGTTCGTTTGATTCGAGTAAATCTAGACAATTATTTGATGTAAATAATCATGAATACTATAACCACACAAAGTATTGTAATTTGATTATGTCATGCTTGTTATGTGAATGAAAGAAAATTTATCTATAAAATTTTGTTAAAAAAATTATTAGGGTAAAATATTTGTATATAGATTTATTAGTTTTGTATTCTATATCATTTTTAAATTTTCTATCTATATAGAATATATAGAATTTATTAGATAGAAACTTAAATCAAATCATGTCTTCACATATCAAATATTTTTATATAGATACATATGACATTTTTGTTCTGACAATGTGATGGAGAGTGAGTGCGAAAAAGAGACTTTCATTTTGAGTCTCCTATTATTAAATTTAATATTATTTAATACAATATTAGATTAAAAAATAGGAACTTCTCTCTTTTTTTTATATACAAAAGTAACTAAAAAAAGGTTCGAAGTGGATTTCTCGACCCGTCAAATGAAATGAAAAAGAAAGCAATATGGCTTTCTAATTAATAAAAAAACAATATGACATTATTATTTTTCATCTAAAATTACTTTTTAAGAGTAAAACTCTATTCGATTTGAAAAATTAATTCAACTTAACTTTTTTTTTTTTGGGATAATTCATTATGCATTAAAACCAAGAATCAGCAAAGATGTTACAGACATCAGAAGCAAAACAGCAGCCCCTCAGTCGAGCAGGTCCCAAGCAACACACTGGCGCTCATTTACAAGGTCCCCCCATTAATACTCTTCCTATACAACTTAACACGAACTACCTCCCTAATAGAATCAACAACAGCAGTACACGATCTAGCTTTATTCACAAAGATTCTATGATTCCGTTCAACCCACACCATATTATAAAAAAGCATTCCAGGTCAGCTTCAAGATAAACTCAACATAATATGAATTTTTTTTTAAATTCGAGTCGAATTATAAGATAGAATTCAAATAACATATATAAATATATATATATATATATATATATATATATATATATATATATATTTAAACATAAATTCGAACAATTCAACTCGATTTGAAAATAAATAAATAAAATTTGAATTATATAATAGGCTTAAGAGTCACTATTTCCCTTGTAATAGACTCGATCTATTAGTTTCACCCCTATTATATTTTCGTATCAATTTCACACTCAAAGTTACTCAATTGCATCAATGTTTAAAATATTTACTATTGTTTAGAGTTTTAAGTTAAGGTTAAAGGTTAGGAGTTAGGGTTTTAAGTTAGAATTTGAGGTATAAAATGATGCAATCAAAAACTTTAAGGGTTAAATTGATACTTGTATAATGGAGGTAAAAATAATAAATTAAGTCTATTATAAAAGTAACCCTCAAGTCTATAAGATAAAACTCATCAATTCGAACGAACGCTCACCTCTATTTCTCGGTACCCTAATAATATAAAGAAAATGACTCCACTTCTGCCGTTACTTTAATGCAGACTTTTTGTTTTGTTTCCTTGAGGGGGGAAACTTGAGTTTTGGATGCAACTCTTCAATCATGGTTCAGTAATCTCCAACCATAATGCTTTGCAATATTAACAATCAATATCATTGTTTCCCCTTATCATGTTATTTGGCAGCTACCACATTAGGCTGTTGCAGATGCTTCGACGTGGAAGAAAAATTCCAAACCTACGCTATGTAGAAGAACACAAAATTACTTTATGATGATTTTATTTTCTGGTTATTTTTTTTCTTTTTCCGAAGCTGAATTATTCACTGGTTACAAAAGTAATTATACAGAGGAGTCAAGACTGTACAAGGAAAGAATGCTCACATGGAACCGCACGTTGGATGGTGTTAACTGTGAACAAAATTGCGCCGCCTTGTTTAAGCCGTCGATCACTGGAATATTATCTGCTGCCGGCATTACTCCTCTCTTTAAACTTCATTAACAGCAGCTCCCTTCTCTGGACAGCACCATCGCAATGAACGCCGTTATTCTGTATTATGCTGTATGTCGTCACGAAATTCTTGTTACTACAGGTTTCGGCGTACTTCTCCCTGGTTTTAATCTGCTCTTCTATTAATTCTACCCCGCTATGAGCATCCACAAGATTCAATAGCAAGGAGCAACCGATGACGTCTTCCTCTTCGGTAACTGGTAGTTCTATTATCGATTTTACCAGAGAAGCGATCAGATCGTCTCTGGGAGCAAAACCGTTTCTTGCCAACCAGGACAAAATAGTTGTCCCAGCTTGAGTTCTTACACTCGCATATTGCTTCCCATAAGTTGAGTCGGAAGTAAATTTCTTACCATGCTCCGGTTTTCTAGTTAGTTCAAGCAGCCATGGAAGTTGTAAGGCGGCAAAAGACAAAATCTTTCCGTTTTCTTGCAAAAGAAGCTGCCAATCTGTCCTGTGCTCAAAGGGAGGATGTTTAGCGACGAGAGAGAGTGTATTTTGAATACTGTTTAAACGATCTTTTCTATCAGCACCTTTAAACCCTTTAACCAGTCCAGACGAACCTGTTCCCGTCAACATCGTTAAATTTTCACACTGCATTTGCATGTCCAAGTCTTTCCATGCATGAAGCAACTCACCAATTGATTGCTCGTCACAATGGCTCAAGGCAAAACCCAATAGCCGCTTCCGAGTACTCATGTCCATATTCTCGAGAGGAGGACCCCTTGCTAACGCAGCACATAAATCCCAAACAAGACCATGACCCTTTTTGACCAGAACAAGGCAGACATCAAAGGCCAATTGCATGTCACCAGAAACAGCTGCTTCTCTAGCAATAACTTCCCGAACAGCTGACATTTCATCCGGGGAGCGCAATCCAAGAAGTTTGGCAACGTCAATTAGCTCATCAACATGTAGATAAGCTCCAGCTTCACTTAAGATTACCATTTTAATGATTTCCATTGGATCTTTTATTTGTCTGAATTGCATGGGAAGAAGTGTCACTCCGAAGTTGGGAAGTTTAACAGCAAGTGCATCAATAAGATCAAACTCTGCTTTAACGTTTCTGCTGCTTGGAAATAAATTCAAGCAATCTTTAGCCTTCTGGATCTGAAACAAGTCACAGCAGCACAATTAATATTTCGGTTTTCGAATTTAAAACAAAAGAAAATTCGGTATATTTCATTTACTTTGACATCGATGAACCACAAGTGTGGATATATGCTGTCATCAACATGTGGTTAAAATGAAAGTTCAGATCATAGCACAAAAATCATACATGACATTATTTCAACCATAATAGACCTGACTGCATACTTACTTCTGAGCAAGTCAGACTTGAAGCTGAGAAAAAAAACTCCCTTGCAGCTTCAATAACAATATTTTCTACTTTTTCGGTTGCCAAGGCAACTGAACTTGTACCCTTTAAGTAACTTCTTGCAAGAGAAAACTTCTCCGCTTTTAACAGTCCTCCACAAAATTCAGTTAACAAATATTCGAGGTCCAGAAATGGAAAGGCTGTCTCATGCAAGCACTGCAGATCATCCCACATGCTTTCGCACTCAACATTTGGTCGGCCACGCTGTTGGCGAATAAATCTTGAAAGCATGAGGCTAATAATCTGTTTTGCCCCTTGTTTATCTGAATGGGCTTCTAAGAAATAATTCATTGGTTTTGGGACCTGTAAAAGAACACCTCATAGTCGAAAGCTACCCATAGCATCAAGCACAGCAGGATAAACACCTTGAACTGATGTTTAAAAGGGAAAAAATTCTAAAAGAGAATCCATATGTGACATAGAAGCATAGAAGGGAAAGACAAACCTGGTAAAATGCCAAAATGCTCCCTGCTTCAATATGGCCTTCTGCCACTTTGCACCTTCGATCAAGGTTGCCAATAGATATTTTAGAATCTGTAAAATTAGTTGTAAGTGGAGCATAAAAGATCGGGGTTACCAAACTGAGGCCCAAAAATTATGAAGCATGGAATCAACGAAGTTGGGAGTCTAGGGAGAGATATCAAAAGAGATCAGATCATTAAAACAGTAAGTATCAAAAAGAGGAGAAAGACGTATAACCAGCACAGTTGCCTTTTCTAAAAATTTTAATTCATTCAACACTCCGCATCTCCCTTACAGTCCTAAATTAAACCTTATATATCATTATTCCTTAACTAAAAGACTTAAATTCCCTACGGTAAGATAACCAATCACCACAAAATGTAAGGGCATTAGCAAGAAGAAACGGAATTCATAATTCAAGTCCTTTGGCACTTAACTGTGAAACAGATTAATGATGAAAAACAACAGATTAGAATAAGCAAAATGTATAATACTTTGTGACAGAAACTACCTTGCTTCTTTGGAAGCTTTGACAATATTTCAGCCATGGTACTCCATCTATCTGTGACTGTAAATAAATATAGGCATTGCAAAGCACAATCTACAACTTCAACCTCATCCTTAAAGAAGCAATTGCTTTGGAGCCCCCTGCAGCCTTCTTCAATGACCATCAAGCATACATCCAATTTATTCACAAAGGAAATCTCTTTGAGCCATCTAACCAGGAATGACTCGCTCTTAGTCTGATCTACCAAAGAATGGCCATCTGCAATCTGCTGTTGGGTAGCCAAGGAAACCCTGCGCGACCTTTTCTGCATAAATGGGATCGCCTTATTCCGCAATGATTCAACCACATTTTCCTCTTTGCACCCATTAAGCATTGTTTTGAACTTTTCATAGTCAGATAATTGTTCCCATGCAACAAGACTCATACTGGTACTTATTTCAGCATCATTCTCAGTAGCATAAACCAACTGGTGCAGATATGAGATATCTTCATGAAACTGCTTTAACTCATAGATACCTTTCTGGAAAGCAAAGCTAACTAAGTAGCGGCAGTTTTCTAACAACCCACTGTAGGAATCAATATCTCTAGCTCTTTGCTTATACCAAACTGCGAGTTCATCTGTTGAATGCCAAAAAGATCCTAGCAACCGCTTGACAATAGGTTCAGTTCGAATTTGATTACCAATGTCATGGTTCACAGGTAATTTATTAATAAAACATACCATTTTATCACATTCAACCCAATCTTCCTCCCTCGTAAAAAAAATTGGAGGAGACCTCCCAGGAAGAAGCTGTACATACATTTGCACAGGGATTGTTTCAGGAATTGCAGCCAAAATATCTAACATGAAGGGAGCCAGTGAATAAGGATGACGCTTGAACAGGAGGTTTAGAGCCCCAATTTTTCCACTTTCAGCAAGTGCAATTGCTGCTTCATTCATTGGCATAACCCGGAATTTGCTGTATTCCCAAACAGAAAACCTATAAAAGCCTATGTCATTATGCGGTCAATCAATAGAAACAATTAAAAAGCAGTAACCTACCAAAACTATAAGTGGCAGAAATAACTACTAAAAACCGGAACGCACACTACCTGCCCATGTTTATCCCAATAAATGTTTCCAACCTGTCACTGAATTGCAACAGCTGAAGTCTAGCCAAACGGAAATCCCAAATCTCAAGACCTTCTTGGTTGTTTGGTTCAGAAAATTTGTAACAGTTAGTTAACTGCAGCCCGTAAACAAGTAAAGCCTTTACTGCTTCTTCTGATGGTCCAACTTTATCTACACACTCCGAAAGAACAAAAACTCTATCTTTAATATTTGACAATAATGTATTTAAATCATTTATTCCTTTGCCAGAACACAGCCACTGGGACTTCAGAACCTCATCCCTATCCAACTGGTAACGATCTGCAAATTCCAAGGCAGATTGATGCTTGGAATTACGAATTAGAATCTTATACATTTCAGGAACAGATCTCACTGATAACGATATCAAATTCCAACGCAATCTGGAAAGGTCAGATTGATTGGATCTGTCTTCAGAAATTTGCTCTCCATGATGCAAGTCCTTTGTCATTCTATTACCATTAAATGAATCACACCTATCTTCTGATGATAACCTCTCTAAAAGAAAAACATTTCCTTCAAACTTCGGCACCCTTTCTAAAACAGGCATAGAATAGACAGGATCATTCTCTATTAATTTCAGACCACTAACAATGTTGAGCATAGTGACAACGCCAGTTCTTTTAGCAAGAATGAGAATATGGTCAGACCACCAAGTAAAATCTACAATGTCAACTAAGATATCTGTGCATACATTTAAAGATCTATCGTTCACTTCAGAATTAGTTCTCTCTTGGAAAGCAAAGTTTGTAACTAAATATGTTTCCTTATCCAGCTTAAACAAGTATAAACATCCATTCATATCTAAAGTTGCAATATAAGCCTCTTTGGGTGAGATCAACACCTTTGGGTTGGCCGGATGAGTTGCATAACCTTTTTTCTCATAGTAAAGCCCCTCAAACTGAACAGAGGCTAATGGCTCCAAATTCTGGCGTTTACACCAAAGAGAAAGATAACAGGATTCTGGAAAGAAAGATAAAAAGAACCATTAAAGTTGAAACTCTAAAAGTTAATTGTTGTAAAAACTTATTTACCCAACTCTATATTTTATCATATGAAGCGGATGCATAGACACAGATGCTTCATTGATTCAATTCAGTTTTCGCATGCAAAGCCTAGAAGATTGAGTCAGGTAACATAACTAAAGAATTTCAAATTCAAGTCAAAGTTTTCATTTAAAGCCAAGGGAAATGAAGTATAAAACCATACCAGATTTCCTGCTAGCAATAATTGAGCCAACAACAACAAGCAAGGAAAGTTCTGGATAAAAGTCAAAGCAGAAAACATTCTGCGGGAATTGCCCTTTTAAAGCTAGGTCACTACTTTTTATGGAAGAAATAGAGGCACTTGGCTCTGGACCGATCTCAATATGATGAAAAGCTCCCTCAGAAGTCAGAAAACTGAAGCTACACCTGGAAACAAGTCCCTTGATTACACACACGCAGTAATTATATGCCTTCTATGGTATTTATAATCATGCATTTAGAAACTGGCTACCTGAACATGAAATGTTTAAAATCAGCAGATGAAGAATGTGAACTAAAGCTTACAAGGAAGATCGTTGTAATTCAGAATCATCCTGTGAAATCAGTCCTATTATTGTTGAAGATACTTTTAAATGCCTCTTCGTAATCCTTGTTATCTCTTCACCATTTTCCTTAATGAAATATATTACATCGGCATCATCGACTACTCCAAGAATATCATGAGATTCAGACCAAGCTCCACGTGTGAAAAAAACAAGGCTGCTATCTGATGCATGGAACCCAAGTTGAACACAGTTATAAAACTATATAGAACAAGTTCTATAAATAATTTATAATCATAACTTAAACAACTATGAACACTTTTCTTCATCATCAAGCCATGTTCAAGTATTAACCAATGAATCCGAACATATGTTCATTAGAGAAACAAGTGGAATAAATACGATGTAAATCTTACCAGTAAAACGGCCACAAGGCTCCTGGTAATCATCCTCCTTCCGCAAAATGATGACTTGATTTCCGGCAGCCACAGCGACACGCTCACCTCTAGGAGATATAAATAAAGACACAGGTTTTTTCATTTGCTTCGGACTTGTGAATTGAATCCATTTCTCTTTAAGCCGACTTACACCTTCATTCAATAACAGCCCCGCAATAAAGAAAATTATTTATAAAAAAATCGAAAGAATTCTATTGTCATATAAAAATAGCTAATTAAACCACAACTGAATTAAAATATGTATCAAAGAAGCACTTAAATCTACCATACCTCCAACAGAAAGAAATGATAAGAAACCGCCTCTATCAGCTCCGCTTGACTGAATTTATAATAAAAAATTAAAATCAAAATTGGAAACTGAGTCGATTTATGTGAAGAAAGAAAAAGTTGAATCAAGGAGGATACCGGTTGAAGGGGATGATTGGAAGTGAAAGGTCTAGAGGCGTGACGCCGCTCTTCGTAAAGCACTTCTTCGACGGATTCCGCCATGGCCGTCGATTATCTCATTTACTTCAATCAAAGATCAAATTCAAGAAGGAAACGCGGGGGCGGTGGAGGGAAGCTTGTAAAATGGATCTAAGAATCGTCCGCTTCTGCCAAATGGGCTGGAGGAGGTTTCCTTTTCCAACGTAAATGCTTGGGCTGCAAGCCTGCAAAATATTCTTAGGGTGCGTTTGAATGGGAATAGAAGATTACCGGGGGTAATTTTTTTTTCAAAATATGATATCCATGTTTGGATTGTAAAAATTTTCAGTATGGGATAATAAGTCTTTCTCAATATTGACATTTTGGGGTTTATTATCGGAAATGTCATTCTCTTTAATCCCTTATGTATTTGTCATTTGCCATGATTTTGGACTAAAATACCCTTAAACAATTTTTTTCTTCAAAAATATCATTCTTCGGTTGTTGAATAAAAAATATTTTCTATGAAGGTTAAATTATAAATTTATCCTTAAACTGTTTTAGATTTACAAAAAAAGTCCATGATTATAAATAAAATTAAACCCTTTCATTAAACCTATTTATCTTTTAAATTTTATAAAAAAATTATATAAATTTTATGAATTTAAATTTTATAAAGAAAATATATAAATTAAAAATAGTAAAATTATATATTTTCTATGATATTTTATACAAATATTCTCGTTTGAATATTTAGAATTCAACTTGTTAAAAAACAAATATATAATAAGGACAATTTGGTAAAATATACATTCTAATAATCTTTTGTTCCTTTAACCAAAACTATAATTTTACATTCCTGCTAAACGAACCAAACACAACAATGCAACATTCTCAGACTGTGTCATATAATGTTATATTCTGGTAATCATATTATTGGAGGTAATACTATATTCTATGAACCAAACTCACCCTTATACGCACGCTAATTAATTTATTACAGTTACAAATAAAGCATATAACTTTATTATGAATTTATCAATTATAAGTTTGAATTTATCTTTAATTTAACAAATAATATTAAAATACTTTTAATATATAAGCATAGACAGACGAAGGTTTGCTAATTATTTTACCTAATAATATTTAAATTTGACTAAATAATTAGATTTATAAGCTTAAAATAATTTATACTTCGAGTAACCTATATTTTAATTGGTTTGAATCGATCAATTCTTAGCCTATATGACTCATTCTCATGGACCGTAAACTTACATGGTCATATAACAATTAAGCTCACAAAGTAAATAAACTCTTAAATAACACTCGAGTAGTATGAACAATTAAGCTCACAAGTGTTTACTGTTAGACATAAAATAATTACGCGCTCAAAGACTTTTTAGTATTGATATTTGCTTGTAATGATGCTTCTGGTCGTTCTCGAGATACTTTGTGTGCTTTTTTATATATTTTTTCTATGATTTTTTTGTCATTAAGAGTTTATAAAATGTAGGGTGTTCAAAATTCGGTTTTAATTGAATTAACCGATCAAATCGAATTAGTTCGGTTAATTCGGTCGGCCACCGAATTAATTCGGTCGGGGAACGGTTAATGATTTTTTTAAAATTCGGTTAACGGTTAATTCGGTTCGAAATCGATTAATTAACCGAATTAACCGAATTAACCTTTAAATATAATTATATTAAGAGGCCCAATCCATTTAAAATCCATTTAAAACTCAAATCAATATTAATTAATTAAAATAATATCAAAACTAAATGCAAAATGTTTGAATCAAATTAATTAGATATTATTTATAATTAGATATTATTTAAATTAATTGTAAATTATTTTTTTAATGAAAAAAATATTAAATTCTAAAATTCTAAAATTTTTTAGTTAATTCAAAAATTAATCGAATTAACAGAAATTTATTCGGTTCGATTAATATTTTCGAAAAAAAGTTTGGTTAATTCGAAAATGGTAGTTTAGTCGGTTCGGCCACCGAATTAACCGAATGAACACCCCTAATAAAATGTAATAGTTATTACTTACAAAAACTAATATTTATGATACAAAATATCGATCTTTTTATGAAATGGATCAACATTTTTTTAAACAATATTTGATTGTTCTTGATAAAATAATTATTTTTTATTTATATTTACATATAAACGAAAATAATCTATTTTTCTCTTACTCGATCAAATTACCCACTAAATTATTAAAGATGTTTTGTTAAATGAAGACTTAATACAAAACAAAATGTTTAAACTTTACATCTGGAAAAAAAATTGGTGTCTAAAGAAATAATATTATTTTTTATTGAAGAAAATTAAAGTTTTTTAAAAAAATTATTTTATTTACAAAAGAACCCCAAACTTTTAATGAAAATATAAAAAAATTCCAAAAAACAAAAATATCTCATTTCAACTCATTACCAACAATGGTTGGCCATCTCCGACCACTATTGTTATTGTCGAATGATCACCCACTCGTCGCTGGTCACCCATTGATCAACCGCCGCACTTATTGACACCCAAATCCCCTAAATCTCTTAAATCTCTGAAATTTTCAACATCCAAATCCTTAAACCTTTAAAATTTTAATCTCCACGTTGGAACATCCTGGAGCCCCGACGGAGCGATGAGGAGAAAGAGTTCGAATGGTGGTGACGACGTGGCATAAAGTCGTCAGAATCAACAAAAAAAACAATAATGGTGACTTAAAAATTGATAATTCGAACACATTTTCACAGCAAATGGTGGTAATTTACGGTCAAAGACCAACGGAATTTTAATCGGGGTCGCCATTGATGCAAACGACGGTGGTAGTGACGGTCACGACTTACCGGTGACCATGGAAGTGGAAATGGGGCAAGGGAGAGGGGCTGCTGCTGTACGATCCTTTTTCTTTTCTTTTTTAGTAAAAAATATTTCTCCTTTCTTTTTCTTTTCTTATTTACAATCCTATCATAAACCGCACCGCAGCGAATCAGCAGGAAAATATACCGTTGACTTTGTCAAACAATCTCCAATTTTTAAAAGGTGAAATAAGAACGGGTCTGAATAGGAGACTCGAGAGAAATGGTGGAAAATTAGAGGAGAAAGTCTCTGTTCGCGGAGCTCTCCGAAGCCACTTTTTTTTCCCTGGCTGCTATTACTTTTCCCGGAAAATTCCAGTGGTTTCTTGCAAGTAAAAAACGTGACCAAAAGTAAAGAGATTCGTTGACTTTCTGTATCTAGGGCCGATTCTTTCTTTGCTCCTTTTAAGTGTTTACATGTCGAGTAATCTTAATGACTTGAGAAAATGTTGTTTTTGTTTTGGTTGTTGTGTTTTGTTTGATTGCTCTGGGGAAAAAGAAGCTGAGAAGTGAATTATCATTATTGTTGTTATTTATATGTGTGTGTGTGTGTGTGTTTAGCTGGTTTCTGCTAGCGAATGAACAATGAATGCTTCAAATGAATCAACCTTGAGCATCCCATGTATCCTACTAGATGCTGATTGACTGACGATATTTTTTAGTTTCTTTGAAAAGTGAAAATTATGTATTGTGAATATGTGATAGATCTACCCAAAAATAATTTTCCTCAGAAATTGAATTAACTGCAACTGATTTGTAATTCTCTGAAATTGGATTTCAGGGGTTGGTCTGGCGAATTCCATAGGAGATATGACCAGAATTCCACCATTTTCTGGGATGGATATGAAACATATTCGGAATTGTAGATACTATTCTGTAATTATTTTGTTCCTTAGTTTTTCCCTTCTTTGAATGCTCAAAGATGGAAAAAGACGTGATTACAACAAGTACGTCAATGGTTTCACTCCCTGAGTTGTTTTCACAGACCACATTTGCTGTACTTGATTGCATTCATGCTGCCAAGGCTGTCATTGCTCAGACTAAGAATTTCGAGAGATTCTCAAATTTCATGGAGAAGATCACACTTATCTTAAAAGAGTTATCAAAATCAAATGCAAATGATTCAGAGAGCTTAAGAAATGGTCTCGCTATTCTGAACGTGGAAGTTAAAGTTGTGAAACAGCTAGCTGATGAATGTGGAACTAGAAACAAGGTTTATCTCTTGATCAACTGCAGGAAAATCTTGAAGCAATTGGAGAACAGCACGAAAGAGATTTCTCAAGCACTAAAGTTCATCCCTTTGGCCTCTTTGGATGATCTGAGAACTATTAATAAGGTTACCAGGTTGTGCAAGGATTTAGTGGAAGCTGAATATAGTCCCTGTACAGGGGAAACTACTATTTTGGAGAAGATTGAGTCAGGCTTGCGAGAGAGGAATGTTGACAGATGTTTTGTGAATGATCTGTTTGTTTTAATTGCTGAAAGAATCGGAATTCCTAGTGAACACTTGGCCATGAAGAAGGAACTTGAAGAACTGAAGGCCGACATACGAGGTTCGAAACCCAGAATTAGCATGACCGAAGCAAGAAGAATGGAACAGATTATTGAGCTGCTTGAAATGGGTGATGTTATGGCATCTTCTGAGGAGAAAGCTAAAAGGTACCAACTTGAAAGAGACTCACTTGGTACTCAACCTTTTCTGGCTCTCCAATCGTTTTATTGCCCAATCACCATGGACATCATGGTTGATCCAGTGGAGATTTCATCAGGTCGGACGTTCGAAAGAAGTGCCATTGAAAGGTGGTTTGCAGATGGAAACAAGGTCTGCCCATCGACATCAATTCAGTTGGATTCATTGGTTTTACAGCCTAACAAGACTCTCAGACAAACAATTGAAGAATGGAAATACAGGAACAAAATGATCACCATCGTTTCCATCAAACCTAAACTTAAGCCAAATGATGGCCAAGAAGTGCTTCAATCTCTCTCTGAGCTGCAGGATCTATGCACAGAACGAGAGTTGCACCGAGAATGGGTGACATTTGAGGGTTATATACCGATTCTTATTGGACTTCTTAGAGTAAAAAATGGTGAAATAAGAACACAGGCTTTAGCCATTCTCTGCCTACTTGCTGGAGATAGTCATGAAAACCGGGTACTTACAGTCTTTAACTTCTTTCATATTGACAAAGCTGTTTACTCTAATCTATTCACTTGCACATAAACAGGATAAACTTGGTTAGCAACTTAGGATTTAGAATGATGTTTTTTTAATTGTTTGTGGATGTAAGGATTGTTGGCAAAGCTTCTTACATATTGTCTTTACTGATGAAACTGACTTCCAATGTAGATCGACTAAATCCCAGTATCTACATTCGCTTCCTTTATTTCCAAGCTACAATACGTGTGTGTATATATATATTTTCCTCAAAGTGGTTTTGTTAACTTTCCAGGAAAGGATTGCTAAAGAAGATTATGCACTCGAATCCATTGTCAAATCTGTTGCTCGCCAAATAAAGGAAAGCAAGTTGGCCATAGAGTTGCTATTGCAATTATCAAGAAGCAGTGCACTACGAGATGCCATTGGATCCATTCAAGGCTGTATTTTTCTTGTCGTCACTATGCTAAGCAGTGATGATGCTCAAGCTTCTAGAGCCTCAAGAGAGCTTTTGGATAACCTTTCTTTCCTAGATCAAACTGTTATAGAGATGGCCAAGGCAAATTTCTTCAAACCTTTATTGCACCTTCTTTCTTGGGGTAAGTTCTTTGTGGTGATTATCTTGTCTAACTATAATCGGCTATGTACCTGGATTTGGGTTGGTGTAGGACATAAGTATGTATAAATTAGTTTGTGTCTAATATGAACTTTCTAAGTCACAATCTGGTTTCATGCAGGGCCAGATAATGTGAGGTTGCTGATGGCTAAGACATTGTCTGAAATTGAGTTCACTGATCATCATAAACTATCCCTAGTTAAAGATGGGGGAGCACTAGGACCTCTTCTTCAGTTACTCTCTCATGATAATCTAGGGATGAAAACAGTGGCAGTTAAGGCCCTTAAGAACCTGTCAAGCTTGCCACAAAATGGGTTGCAGATGATTAAAGAAGGTGCACTTGGACCACTATTTGATATCCTGTATCGCCATAGCTTGTCATCCCCAAGTTTGCGTGAACAGGTTGCAGTTGTAATCATGCACCTTGCCAAATCAACTAATGCCCCAGCTTCGGATGATGAGCAAATCTCATTGCTGGAGTCGGATGAAGATATTTTTAAGCTATTTTCTCTGATTTCTTTCACTGGACCGGACATTCAAAGGAACATTCTTGAAGCTTTTTGTGCGATGTGCCAGTCATCTTCAGGTCCAGACATCAGAGCAAAGCTGAGACAGGTACGCATGCTTTCTGAGCTGTTCCGAATCTGATCTATGTTATCAGGATTTGAGATTAGTGGTTGGAATTGGTACTTGTCCGACACAGTATACTAAAATGTCCATATATTTTTAGGATTATATCCTATTTATGTCTGAATATGACATGGTGTGGAAATGAAAAATCGGAGTTATGTAGTCTTCAATACATGACATGGAAAATCCTCTCCGCAGTACACTTGGATAACTAGTTTGCATAGGGAAACCATTCTTAGAACTTGGATACTTATATTAGGCATTTTTAGAATTTAAAAAGTGCATCAAACACTCCCCTCTGCAAATCTCGAGGGAATTCCATTAAATTTGTAGAATTATGTCCATATTTATGTCTGAATATGAAAGGGATATCAAGATGAAAAATAGGAGTAATATAGGCTTCCATACATAACATGGAAAATCTTCCCTGCAGTTCACTTGAATAACTAGTTTGCATAAGGAAACCATTCTTAGAACTTGGATAAATGTGTTTACGTTATGCATTTTCAGACTTTTAAAATTGCGTCAAACTCCTACCCTCTGCAAATATCAAGGGAATGCCATTAATTCTGACTCATCTTCTACTTCACTTTTTTCGGTTTCCCGAAGAAATCAGGAATTGTATCTAACGTTTTATGTTACTTGAATGTTTATTTGATCACTAGCTCCCTGCTGTCCAAGTATTGGTTCAATTATGTGAGATAAACAACCAAACGGTGAGAGTGAGAACCAGTGCAGTGAAGCTATTCTATTGCTTGACAGTAGATGGTGACGACATCAGTTTCCAGGATCATGTGGGCCAGAGATGCATTCAGACATTGCTGAAGATCATAAACTCTTCAACCGACGAAGAAGAGATCAGTGCAGCTATGGGGATCATCTCGAATCTTCCCAACACCATACAGATAACTCAATGGCTTCTAGATTCCGGGGCACTGGATACAATCTTTTCGTTCATAACTGATGGGAACCGAAATACCTCGAACAAGAAGCTTGGAATAGAGGATGCTGCAAGAGCCCTTCGTCGTTTCACTGTTTCAACAAACAAAGAATGGCAGAGAAAAGTAGCTGAAGCCGGCTTTATTCAGGTGCTGGTACAATTATTAGTTTCAGGCACTTCTTTGACAAAACATTATGCAGCCATATCGCTTAAACAGTTTTCGGAAAGCTCGGCCTCAATGAGCCAGCCGTTAAAGAAGACCAGAGCATTCATTTGCTGCTTTGCTGCATCAGAAACAGGCTGCCAAGTACACCAAGGAATATGTACGGTTGAGTCTTCATTCTGCATTTTAGAGGCCAATGCCGTCGATCCACTAGTTCGGACTCTCGAGGACGGAGATTTAGGAGCCCGTGAAGCTTCTTTAGACGCCCTATTGACATTGATCGACAACGAAAGACTGCAAAGTGGTTGCAAAGTGCTTGACAAAGTAAATGCCATACCTCCAATTATAAAGCTATTGAGTTCAACTTCAAACAATTTGCAGGAGAAGGCACTGGGAGCTCTGGAAAGGATATTTCGGCTGCCCGAGATGAAGCAGAGATATGCAACGTTGGCTCAAATGCCGATCGTCGATATAACTCAACGGGGAAGCAGCGGAATGAAATCGATGGCTGCCAAAGTCCTTGCGCAGTTGAATGTTCTAGGCGAACAATCTTCATATTTCTGAATCTGAAATATCATCATGTGCCTGTAATTTTATTGCTTGGCTGTTTGATGATCTGAAATGGATGATAGTTTAACCATTATTTCTAGAAATCGATGATATTATTTGTGAAAATTTATGGAGATAGAAGTTACTTTTGTTGATTGATGCACAAGTTTCGATTTTCTTAATGGAATATCAAAGGATACAATGTTTTGTGGCTGTAGATGGTTAAGGTTGTTTTTTTCCTTGTTTTGTCATGTGATTTTTGTCATTATGAAAGTAAATGTGGGGTTTCTATTGTTAAGATACCTGCTTTGACGGAATAAAAACCCGAGTCCTGATAACCCAAACAAGAACATCTCCACGGTGAGGAGCAAAAAAATTGTAAAATTAAATCTTAATTCACTAAATAATCACTGGCACTCGGGCAAAATTATTTGGCACACCCAGTGGGACTCGAACCCACAATCGCTTGATTAGAAGTCAAGCGCCTTATCCATTAGGCCATGGGTGCTTGATATTTGAAGTTTAATTTTTTATAATAATAGTTAAATAAAATTAAGCAAAAGGGTTTAGAAATCCTAAGGTGGCATTTGGTTCGCTGAAATGTTTATGAGGGAATTTGAATATGTGAAGAAATTAGAATCTGTAGGAATTGGAATCTGAATCTGAAACCTGTTTGGTTGGCAGGAAATTGAATTGAAATCCAATTCCATATTCTGTTTGGTTCGAAGACATGTCAGATGAATTTGATTTCAGTAATGTAAAATGACAGAATTATCCTTATTGTTTTTTTGCTTAATTTTAGTTTGTTTTATAACTTACATATAGCAATATATTATAAAAATTTTAAAAATATTAAATTTTCATTTTATTGATTGATTATTCATTTCAATAAATTATAAAAATCATACTAATAAACATCATAAGTTAAAATCATCTCAATTAGGTAAAAAAATTATTTTTATTCAATAAAAACAATGACTTAATTAAAATATATATATATATATAAAGGGGTATTATTGTAATTATTCATAAAAATATAAGGTAAAATTATATATTTTTTCGGGTCGGGTCGGGTATTTTTCACAATAAACCCCAACCCGACCCGAATATCACGCTTAAAAAAACAAGACCGACCCGAATATCAAACTTAAAAAAATCCAACCCGACCTGAATACCACACTTAAAAAAACCCGACCCCGACCCGAATATCACACTTAAAAAACCTCGACCCTAACCGAATATCCAACTTAAAAAAACCTAACCCGACCCGAAGCCGATTTTTTTAAAAAAAAATCTGACTCGAATACCAAAAGATTGATGAGGGTAATATGGTCAAATTTCACATTCTCTCCTCCAAATGATTTCAATTCCATCATGTTATGGATGGAATTTACTCTCTCCCTTAATGGAATTGGATTTCAATTCTCCCTAATTCTAAGAGATTCCAGCGAACTAAACGTCATCTAAGTGTTTTTCTTCCTTGTTGGATTTGGAATCTATTAAACTACCACTATTCATCTTATTCAAATTTTTTTCTCTTCGAAATATGAATAAAAGATAGAGTGATCGGGACAATTGTCACTCCTGAAAATTTTAGACTTATATGTTTTTTTATATTTTTTATTAGTAATATATTTTCATCCCATAAAATTTTATAAATTCATCATTTTAAAAAAATTGAAGTACGACGTTAACATAAAACCATATGTCAATTTATGTTTATATCTAATTAATATATATATACTGATAATTTTTTTAAAAATTAATATCAATGTCGACAATCAAATGAAATAATTATAATTGTAATATCGATAATAAAATATTTAACTTCGTCTTTTAATATGTATTATAACAATATAATAAATTACATGAATCAGGTGATCGTAGTAATTAAAGAGGTTTTATTATCCCTAGAAGTTCTGAACTCGAGCATAGTATCTATAAAATTTGAACATTCATTATTAAATGATTAAAAACCTTTATAAGTGATGTTATATTAAAATTATTCTAATCATTCTAATCTTTATTAAAAAAACAAATGGATTTCTATTCAACACTAGAAAGCAAAGGTCCATTGGAATATTAAAGCTCTATTAAATGTCACAATTAAACGCCACAAACATCTGCTACAGAGTTGGACTAATCAAGCCACGATGGTTAGTATCTAAACTATTAATTTTGACTTTAATGACTTGTTTTCTTTCTACTTCTCTTTCTACTTTCGTGTTATTGTCCAACCATTTCTTGGATTTCCTTTCTTTTCCCATTATAAACTTATAAGTGGTATCCTTATCTATTTGATTGTGATTAAATTCAGGGTAAATTATATGTTTAATACCTAAACTATCGATTTTGGTCCGTTTTAATATTTAAATTTTTAATTTTGTTTAAAATCATACTTAAAGTTTAGTTTTTATTTTGTTTTAGTATTCCGTTCAAAATTTAACGTGAACAAAAACAATCATCCAATTACATATTGAAGACTGATTTTGGTGTTATACCAAACTATTTTATATCATCATATTTAATAATAAATAAAGTTAGTCCTGAATTATGAGATTTTTTTTAAGTTAGAATGGTGAGATATATTTGATTAAAATAGATAAACTATCATTTGTTGTGTCGTATCACCTTTTTAAAGCAAGCGATCAATTCCCACATCTCGTCTAGTATGCACTGCCATTGAAGAAAAGTTTACTCTTTACTCTATGCTCATGGCCGAACCTGATACAGTGATTTTAATATAAATTTTGCTTGATTGTCATCAAGTCGTTGTAGTATAGTGGTGAGTATTTCCGCCTGTCACGCGGACGACCCGGGTTCGATCCCCGGCAACGGCGTTAGCTGTTTTTGTCTGTAATTCTGGTTTAGCCCCTATACTTTGCTGCGTTTTGGATCTTAATCCAGAAAATTTTACTTCCCATATTTATACAATTTTGTTAGTCAGCGTAAATCTAAATCGATAACAATAATATATGATATTATTTTTAAAAAAATATCTTATGCATTCGATTAAAAAGTCAAAAATTTTAAATCATGTCTGGTATATTTCACCGCAAGCTGTTAAACTCGTGTTACCCTTTCTTGCCACGTCAGAATTAATTTGATTAAAATATATTAATAAATATATTATTTTATGAAAATGGTTAAAAAGGATGTCTTGTGTGGCCAGCTATTCCTGCAGGCTGTTATTAAAAGAGTGGAGCAGCTTTGTATGCATTTTTTCTGGAAGGGATCAGATACTGCCGCTGGTGGTCCTCGCGTTGGGTGGAGTCAGGTTTGTCGGTTGAAATCTGAGGGTGCTCTTGGGGTTAGGGACATTAAAACTTGGAATAAAGCATGTTGCTTTCGGCTGATTAAATACATTCCTGCTAGTGAGGGGTCTCTTTGGGTAACATGGATTCATGCTTATGTTTTGAAAGGGACTAACTTCTGGCAGCTTGATGTGAGAGTGAATATTAGTTGGGTCTGCAAAAGCCGACGAAGATGAGACGTGAGGCTCAAGTTATTTTTTCTTGTGCTACTGCTAATGATGATCTGAAAATTACATGGTTCCGGGACAAGATTAGAATTAAAGTTGCAAAGGTTGCTTGGTAAACATGGTATTATTTCGTGGATGACTTGATTGGGGAGCCTTCCCACTGGTGATAGACTGTTGCGTTGGGGTCTACAGGTTGATGGTATGTGTTGCCTATATAGGGATGCAATGGAAATTATTGATCATTTGTTTTTTTAGTGTCCCATTGCTAAGGATAACTGGCAGGCCATTTTGCTTTTATATGGACTGACTAGGAGGGTTGGACGTTGGAAGGGGAAGATTGAGTGGGCTATTGCCAATCTCAAGGGTAAGTCGTTGCTCACTCTCCTTCTTAAGTCAGCCTGGAATGCTCATATATATCTCATTTGGGAGGAAAAGAATCGTAGGCTGTATCAACAAAAGGTGAGGGGAGCTGCTGATATCCTTTTGGCTATCAAAAAGGTTATTCGGGTTAAGTTACATAGTAGGAGTATTGCTAGCTGTGAGATGAATAGGGGATTTTCTTGTTGAGGGTGTTTTTTTTATTGTATTTTCTTTGATTTTCAAAATTTCAGGGTTTTAAATCATGGTTTGAAAATGTGATAGCGTCCGTGAAATAGCAGTTTCACCATCGTCCGAGTTATCTGCTACACCCATAATAGAGTCCAATAGCATCCGTGACGGCCACAATCACGGTAAACCTGAAATGACCCAAAACGAGACCGCAACTGCAATTTAAAAGCCTGACAAATTCAATTATCCAAAAAAAAATGTCTTGAACTCTGAAATTGTATTTAATTATCACTTTGATTTTTAAAGAATTATTTGATTCAATTTACTCACAAACTTTCAATTTGTATACATATTACCCATCAATATTTGTCGAATTTCGAGTCATTTAATCTTTAAGATTGTGTTATTTGATCTTTCTAGTTTGATTTGAGTTGAATCTTATGACGCGAATGGTTTAAATAAACCAAACTATAAACTTCAATAAACACCACCCGAGTCTCTAATAGTTTTAAAACCGTTAAAAAATTGGTCTCTATAAAACTATATAAAAATCTATAAGAAATGTTAAATTATAAAATTTTTAAAATTGTTCCAAATTCACAAAATTTTGAAAATTAAAATAAGTAAATATGAAATTTAAAATGTCTTATTGTTTTTATCTCTTATTTTATTTTAGAATATTTTTCAAATATGTCTGATTTTAAGATTACGTGCCCTGGTTCAGAATTTAGTCGAATTGTTTAGATTTTAATTTGAACTACTTTTAAAATTTAATTCGAATAAATTTATTAAACTCGGATTTTATTTTAATCGTTTCGATTGGAAAAGACTAAATTATATAACAATAACAATGAAATATAATTCATCAATTTAAGCTATCTTAGATAATATATATAAAGAAGCTCATTTGAACAAATCCATTACAAAAATTAGAACAAAGTTTATATCATAATTCAATAGAATTTCAGACAGGAGAAATAACGTAATAAATAAAGGATTATTACCGTAAACACTATCATGGAAAATAAGATCAACTATGGTCGCTCACTTATAAATTAGTTCTGTTTTGGTCATCAAACTATTAGTTTTTCAAGATCGTAACTAACGTTACGTTCTGATTCTATTTTGATAGCCCGCCATTAAAGAATTAACATCGCCTCTGAAAAATAATAGGGTAAACTGCACATTTAGTATTTTAACTATCATTTTTGTTTCGTTTTTTTATCACCCAGTTATTTTTTTGTTTTAAAATCATACATGATGTTAGTTCTTATTTCATTTTGGTCACCCATCATTAAAAAAATTAACTGAATTGCTGACATAATATTCTTAAATGATGACATGATATTATCTTATGGTGACATGTCAACATTAACGTTAAATGTTTTAACACATACGATAAAAAACCCAAAATTATACGTTGATATGAGTTTGAAACAAAAAGTAGTTGGATTACCAAAACAGAATAAAAGTAATAATTAAGATATTAAATATATAATTTATCCAAAATAATAACAAAGGTCACGTCATCACCAATGTTAACTTTTTTTTTTTTTTAGGTGAATCACAAAATAGAATAAAAATGTAACATTATAGATGATTTTTTTAAAAAAAATTAAATATTAAAATAGAAATTAAGTAATAAGTGAATGACAGAAATAAAGTTTTAGACGGGGAGGTTAGAAACATCGTTGGAAGCGGGGATATTATTAACGGCCCTGGAAATGACCGACGACGAGACGGAGTTGAAGCTCGAGAACATGAGAGGGCGGTCATGCGCCTCGGAATCTTCTGCGTCGTCGGCCGTAGTCAGATTTATGCAGGCGAATCGTTCGAGCGATATGAAGAAGAATTGAGCGACGCTGGTTCCCAGCCACGACAAGAAGCCGACGTTGGTATCCATCCCAAGAGATTATTTGATTGATTTGGGGATTTTGGATTGGCCTTTAGGTTTATTCTTTCCCTTTTTCACAGCGAAGATTTCGAACTATGGGGTCTTTGAAATTCAAGCCATAACAATAGGTTTTGAGGAGGAAGAGATGGTCAAAGCCTCAAAGGCACAATAAGGGAAAACAAAACGAATTTGCCTCTAATTATTTATTATCATTTTTAATTTATTTCCTATTTTTAATCATTTTTACGATATAATTAGTAAATGGAACGAGGGAAGACACCACTTGTAGCTTTTATATATATATACTTTAAATAATATGTTTTTGAAATTTTAATATGTTTAATAAGATAATATGCGTTTGATTTCAAATATGTATATATTCGGACATAATAAGTATGCTCAAATCCATATCACCTTGGGAGAATAACATTTTTTTAATAACTAAAACTGCTAATTGAGTATATATACATGAGTTAGGATCTATTTACCCAATGTAAATTCCTTTTTAGTTTTTAAATATTTAGGATTGTTAAATGAATGAAAATAGATGACTAAGATTAACTCTTTGTTTTTAGTGAATACATTCTCATTTCACACACACACATATATATATATGATTCAATTACATGATGTAAAACTTTTTAGTTTTACACATGTTTAGGATTATTGGATGAGTAAAATAGACGACTAAGATTAATAGTAGGAAATGAAAAGACATTCACTGAAAAAAACAATGAGTTAATCTCATTTGTCTATTTTTACTCATCCAACAGTCCTAAACTGCAAAAAGTTTTACATTGTGTAAGTGTATCATAATTTATGTAAAATTTTTTACATATATAGGTTAGGATCCACTGACAGAGTATAAAACTTTTTACAAATTTAGTATCGTTGGATGAGTAAAAATAAACTACTGATACTAACGGTGGGAAACGATAAAATATTCACTGAGAAACTCAAAGAGTTAATCTTATATGTATATTTTCATCTATCCAACGATCCTAAATGTTAGCTTTATCGATTAACCGAAAACCGCCAAGAGGGGTGGATGCAATTGAAAAATAAAACTTTGCACAACAATTTAAAGTGGTTCGACTTCTAATCCAAGTCTACATTCACTATCTTAGCTATCCACACTAAGGATTTCTCAAATCTACTAGATATGCAAACATTTAAGGACAAGGTGTAACATTACAATTAACACACAAGGTTTATACCCCAAAACCTTGCTTACACACTTTCCCAAAGAGAAATTAAAATTTTGGCAAACAAAAGGAAAACCTCACAAAGGCAAATGAGTTTGCAACTAATTAAGCACACACCCAAATTGCACTTGAGTAAGAATAAACAAGAAGCTCACAAGTGTATTACAAAGAATTGACAATTTAGCACTAAAAACTCTTTTAATGTTGAATTGATCTTCCAATTAACTTTCTTGTTCTTCTTCAATTGAATCTTGGTCCCCTTTATGTATTCTAACATCAATCTAGTCGTTTGGAGCCGTTGGGGATTGAAAAGAACAGTTGGATTCTTTAATTTTGAGCATTTAATTCTCACCTGCACATTTGGTATTGATAATAACATATTGGTCTCAAGACCAAGACTTCCAACAATCAAATTTATAGCCATTAAGCCATCAATATCTATATTGTTTGAATCATTATCGATACCCACCTCCCGGTCTCGAGACTGAGGCCTTGGTATCGATACCAAAAACCATTATGGAATTTTGGTTTTAAGACTACTTTAATGGTCTCGAGACTGGATGATGTTTTAGCTAAAATTCAAGTGTTTTGAGCTTTAAAATGATATTTATAAAATGTAAATATACTCAATAACAGTTGTAATTATTTTCCACACTTAAAAATACTTTAAAACGTTTATAACAAATTATTTATAAAATTATGAATTGCAAATATTAACAACTTAAAATGTTTAAAAATAATGTTATATCAAAATCAAATGTTGGTTCAACAATCCTCCCCTTTTTGATATAACAAAAACTTTTATGAAAATTTGATTTAAAATTAATTTGTCATAATTTGTGAAAAATAAAGTCTTCCCTTAGAAAAATAATTTTTGGTTAAAATGATTTTTAAGCTAGAAAATGTATACTTACACATATTTCTCCCCATTTTTGTCATAACAAAATCAAATTAAGCTTCAAAAGAGAAAAAATGTTAGTGTAATAGGGAACTCAAATATTCAACATAAAATATTCAAAAGTCAAATTATGCTTAACATAAAATAATCAAGTTAAAAAACATAATATCAACATCAATAATTCAAACATAAATCCATAAAATACCAAATTAAACAAGTATCAAACATAAAATAACATAAATTTTCAAAATAAGTCATAAAGTGCATAAGTCCAAATCTAAAAGCAAATGTCATAAAATGACAAATAAATACCTAATTTTCCGGAGGCGATGGCGAAGGAGAGGGAGGCATCAAGTGATGATGCATCAAGCAAACGTCATTCTCAAGCGCGTCCAAGCGACGATCCATACTAGACTCAAACGAGTCCAAGTGATGATTAATGGTAGCCATACGAGCATTTATGTTCCCAAAGTTTTGAACCATATAATCATACATGGTCTTCATAGATATATCCTCTTGAGGTAGGGGCACCAGTTGCTCTTCTATTTTGTCATCTTCTTTCTCGATGTTGTCCAAGTTTTGTATAAAAGGATGCCACTCACTGGACATATCATCGAAATCCCAATTGGCCTTGTGGGCCGATTTGATAAGTATGACACTAACGAGGGGAATATGAGGGTCAAGGGTGGTAGACACTTTAAATTTATCCCTAAATATGAGGTAATTGGTGACTTTTGTGATGTTTTCGGGCATAAATCGAGTCTTTCCAAGACTGACATTTACTTCTCCAAGAATGTCAATGATCTTTCCAAAGCTAATATCAGTGCTGGATTTCAATATACTCTTGTTGATGATCTTGGGAAATATATGGGCGTGTCACTTCTACATATGAAAGTTTCCCGTGAGACGTATCAATTCTTAGTTCAAAAGGTAAGAGACAAGCTTACAGAGTGAAAAGTGAGGCACCTATCTTTGGCGGGGCGTGTCACACTCGCAAAATTAGTGCTATCGGCCATCCCATCATATGCGATGCAATCATGTCATCTTTCGCGAGGAGTTTTTGATGAGATTGAGAAGTTAATCTGAGCCTTTATTTGGAGAAACTCCGATCAACAAAAAAAAGATTCACCTTGTAAATTGGGAGGAGGTTTGCATCGATTTCAAGAAATGAGGTCTTGGAGTAAGACATTTACGTTCGCAAAATGAAGCACTTATTATGGGTTAAATTAATAGCTGAACGGGATAGGTTATGGGTTCGTGTTTTGCAAGCTAAGTATAAAATGTTGGAAGTTTGCCCCTGTCAATAGCGAAGGCAGGTTGTTCTCGTATTTAGAGAATTTTGGGATCTCTTTGGGAAGATATTCGTGAAAGGATTATGTGGAGCCTTGGTGATGGTATGACCGTTGATTTTTGGCGAGATAATTGGCTAGGAGAGTTGGGTCTTTTAGATAAATCAGTAATGTCTTCAGGACAAGGCGCTCTTGCTCAATCTAGAGTTATCGATTGGGTGACTCCTATGGGAGATTGGGACTGGTCGGTATTAGAAGCGATTCTTTCGCCCATGGTGTTGTCTTATATTGCAGCGGTTCTACCCTCGTTTCCGAATAGCGGCCCGGATAAACCTGGTTGGAAGTGGGAATCTAATCGTAGGTTTACGACGAAAAGTGCATATCAAAGGCGTATTTCTTTGAATTTGGAGCAAGCTGTGGCCTCGTGGGACTTCCTAACAAAGTATAAAGGACTCCCTCAGATCAAAATGCTTTTGTGGTTGATTTGCAAAGGAAAATTACTCTCAAATGAAGAACGGGTCCGAAGGCATGTAGCGATGACGGCTAATTGTGGAATATGTGGTGCAAGTAATAATTCGATATCGCATGTATTATGTAAATGTCCTACAACACATGCAACTTGGCAGAAGACTGTGCGTTTGGATCGATACAGGGAGTTTATGAACAGGGAGCTCTTTTCATGGATCCAACGTAATATGACTCAGCCTGGATACTTCTCATGCAATGATGGACATTGGGAGTTGAGGTTCGGGTCAATAGTCTGATATCTATGGTCACGGCGAAATAGCTTGATCTTCGATAAGGAGTTTGGTGTAGGCGATAGCATCTTAGATCGAAGTAATAGACTGGTCAATGAAATGTTGTTGGTGCAATCTTATCAATGCCCAAGACAGGTGCAACGAGGTTCAAATAGTCGGAATGGTGAAGGGTGGCAAGCTCACCGGAGTGGTTGGATCAAGTTAAATTTGGATGGTGCACGAAATTTAAACTTCGGGACATCTTAGTGTGGTGGTGTGCTTAGAGATGAAACAGGTAAATGGATTTTGGGTTTCACCAAATTTATCGCAACATGTTTGGTGCTCGATACGGAGCTTTGGGGAATACTAGAGGGGCTCAAATTAGCATGGAATAAGCAAATTACTGCTGTTATCGTCGATTCAGATAGTCAAGAAGCGGTGACGACTTTGAATGACCATGATGGCCGATGAGGGAGTTCCTCACTGTTATCTCACATTTTTTATTTACTAAAGCGGAACTGGAGGGCTATTTTCATGCACATTACTCGAAACAACAACTCAACCGCTGATGGAATGGCCTAGATAGCTCACCCGTACGATCTTAAAGTTCAGATTTTCCAGCAACCACCAAGGGAGATCCCGACAGCTTATCATCAGGAGTCCATGGATGTCTGATAGCAGTCGTTTGTGATTTTTAATTTGTTTCATCTTCTCATTAAAAAAAATGTTAAGATGTGATTTTAAGTTAAGATATATTCAATATTAAGAATTTAAGATTATACTAAAAACAAAAATATAGACTATATGTAATAATTTAAACCAAAAACTAAACTTGGCCCAACGGCTTAGCCAATTCTTTCTCTCCCAGGCATTGTTGGTTCGAGTTCTTATAGCCCCTTATTTAGCACATGTAATTTTCATTCACTCAGAGGTGAAAATATATCAAACTAAAATAAATTATTCTTCTAATGTATCATGATATTTGATAATAGTGAAGATTAAATTTATTTTAATTTTTTTAAAAATATGACCAAATTGATAGAATATATAAATAAATTAAATGTATAGTTGAGTGGTCTCAGATATAATTTACCCTAAAATCAGTACAGCAATAAAATACTTCTCAAAGTTCTGTATATCACGTGATCAGCACGTGACATGAAAAAGAAAAATGGAATTTATTGTGATGAAGAAAAATATGAGGTCAACAACTACAAATGAGCCACGTGTACAAAATATAAATAATCATAACCCACGAAACACCTGATCCCGTGCCAGTGGTGCGCACTACGCCCTCACCTTGTTGGCTTCTTCTTCTTGTTCCATTATCATTATATTACAACATTGTTTTGTTAATCGGGCGCCAGTATTTCCTAAAAAGATAGTATGATATAATATCAACGAAGAACGAAAGGATTTTTTTTATCTTCAATTTTCGAGAAGACTTTTAGGTTTTTAGTTTAACTACGATGCGAAGTTGAAGCAATCATTTCCCCCGTGTGTGTGTTTTTTTAATTTTAGGGTTTGGTTTTGGTTGATTGATTCCATGGCTGACTGGCAACAGCTTTTGCAGTCGATTTTTATAGGTCTCATCTTCTCTTATCTTCTCGCTAAGCTAATTTCCCTAGTCGTTTCTTTCAAAGAAGATAACCTTTCGATTACCCGAGACCGTAGCCGCAATGTCCAAGGCTACGAGAAGATCGACGACCCGGGACCTGTGCCCGACTCGCTTCTCAGTACTGAGCACGAGGGATTGCACAAGTCGGATTCGGTGCTCGCCGAATTGGGGAGTCTTAGGAACGACAGCGACGGTGATGGCCTTGGCGAGGATTATGATGACGACGAAGAATGGGAGGGGGTAGAGTGTACGGAGCTGGATGATGCGTTTAGTGCTGCAACTGCGTTTGTGGCGGCGGCTGCGGCGGATCGATTATCGCAGAAGGTTCCTAACGAGGTGCAGTTGCAGCTTTACGGTCTGTATAAGATTGCCACCGAGGGACCTTGCACTGCTCCTCAGCCTTCCGCTTTGAAAATGACCGCTCGTGCTAAGTGGTAAAGCGGTGTTTCTTTCCCTTTTCTGCTCATTTTTCCCTTTTGAGTTACTTCGTGAATTTTGTTTGTTTGTTTGTGGGTTTTTTTATTATTATTTTCGCAAGTGTGAATGTCTTGGATGAACTTGCTTGGTATAATTTAGTTAAACTTTGTTTCATGATTCAAAACTGAACTTGTTATGAGTAGAAACCTGAGTGAAGCTGATGATCATTTAATTAAATTATTATTCAATTATCAAATGCTTGATTGTCCCCTCATTGCAAGGCACTTCCATGGGGTATGAGAGTTGTTTCTACTACATAACACAAGACCTGAATGATTGAAAGTTGCTTGAGAAATTTATAGTACTAGTTGTTGAATTTGGGTATTTGTTTATTCTTAGGCAAGCATGGTACAAATTGGGTGCTATGCCTCCGGAAGACGCAATGCAGAAATACATTGATATCGTGACTGAGCTTTATCCTACTTGGGTGGATGGTTCGGCAATGGTGCGATTTATCTATTCTTTTTTATTGTACTGTTTATCGGTGTTTACTTTTCATTTTTTTGCTGTTTTGCTGATGTACTGGTCTCTCAACCTTTTTTGCTCCTAGAAGAGAACAGGTGGGGCTGATAGTGCTGCAAGTAAAGATGCAAAAGGACCAATGGGACCAGTTTTCAGCTCGTTCATATATGAAGAAGAATCTGGAAATGAGTTGTAAGGTTCTTAAAACTTCATCATATCAATCTTTCTATCTGATATTCCTTAGGTCTACAGTCTACTTATGTCTTATAGTGGTTTTCAAGTTAGGAGGTAGGACCCTCCAAATACATGGGAAAACTTGGAAAAAGAGTAATTTAATATGCCCATTTTGGACACATACCTATATCTGAGATTCTGAGTCTGTGTAACATAGTAAACTGGAACTTGTTATAGGGCTTCCCATATTTGCTTGACCGACACTAGGTATTTGAAGTTGCTAGTAATGGCATAATTGTTTTTAAACTTGCAAGTTTAGTATCTGAATTTGAATAGAAAAAGGAACTTTCTTTTTCTTTAGATATAAGTTTACACTGTGCAATTCTACTTGGGATAGTAAATATTTTTTTTCTTGTTATACTATTTTCTGGTTCTTACCACTTGCCTATGCAATCCAATATAATTATTGAGTCATCAAACAATCAAATCCCTCAAAATCGAAGGCCAGTTGACTTGGACTATGAATATGTAATATGTTTGTTCCACAATTTATGATTTATATTTTGAAGTCTCGTTTTGGCTGTTTGTTGTTCTAAATTCTGTCCGCAAGCATTGATGTTGCCTTTTCATATATGACGCCTTAGGTATTGTATAATTTTCTATGCTCTGATTGTTGATATGAGCTGCCCTTTTGTTAACTGTGGAATGGTTCCTGTTGGTACAAAGTAGTGCGTCTACAAAAGTGATTCATTGATGAGTTAAAAGACTTTCCTCCTGTCATGTAAACACAATATTCTTTATTGCATGGTATTTTGTTTCTAGTATTTAAGAGATCTGATTCGAATGCTAAATTGTTATTGTTTTTCAGGAAGATGGATGCTATTCATACATTTGCCAGAGAAGGAGACCTGGAAAATTTGCTTAAATGCATTGAAAGTGGTGTTTCCGTGCATTTACAAGGTTTGTTTCTATTTAGTTGTATTTTGCCCTTTGAAAAACTAGACTTGCATAGGGTTTGAATGACTTGTTTTACCTTGTAACTATGCATATGACGCATGCAGACAGTGAAGGCAGAACCCCTTTGCATTGGGCTGTAGATCGTGGCCATCTTAAAATCACGGAAGCACTTGTTAGTAGGAACGCAGATGTGAATGCTAAGGTAATTATTGTATTGCTTTCACTGTTTTATCGGTTTTAACCTCCTAATATTTGCTGAATCTATTCATGCCTGATGGATATGTGATGCATGAAAAAATAGATGTCTTTGCAATGTTTTGAACTGTTTTCAAAAGCGTATCGAAGTAACGAGAAAAAAATTGTTTTCAGGTGGGTCATGCATCAGCTTGAACCTATTGAATCATGCACTATGTTCTTTACTCGCGCATATAGATATCTTTCTTGTTCTGGTGTTCTAATAAGTGCTGTTAAATTATTTATTTTTTCTATTGGAAGGACAATGAAGGACAAACCCCGTTGCACTATGCTGTTGTGTGTGAGAGAAAAGACATTGCTGAGTTTCTTGTAAAACAAAATGCAGACAAAGATATGAAGGATATCGATGGCAACTCTCCAGTTCACCTATGTGAGTTGGATTGGCCTTGGTTGCGACATGCAGGCAAAGCCGATTGATCTGCATTTTAAACCAAGTTTGCTTTTGGTTAAAGTACTTGAAAAATTTCTCATGAATGAATATGGCTATATGTTACCTTTATGCTCTTTTAACATAGTTATATGCTAATGTGGGGCACTATGATGCTCGTTGCCCTTGCCTCCTTGGATACTGCTCTCACTACCCCCATAAGCAGATCGAAGAGAGTTCGAAGGTAAGGAAAGTTTAGCTGGTGAAATGGAATTCAAATACTTATGTTGTTGCATTATGAGTTGAATGAATGCTTTGGATAAAGCCTGGAACTTGGATGTTTGCCTTCAAAGGGACCGAATAGTGTGATTCATTCATCGTATGCCGGAGGTGGGCATTGAACCTAGCTAGTTCTTTGATCTTTATGGTAGATTAGATACAACGGAGACTCGATCACCCTAAACCTTTTCTATCAAACAGTGAATCGATCTCTGTGGCATGGACATGATGCCGGTTTGCTTAGTGCTTGCTTTCCACTCATATTTTCTCTTTAGCCTGTGAAATGCTTGGCTGTACTTTACATGCTTTGCTTTTAATTTGATGCTGTTCCATGAATTATCTGATCAAAACCCTTTCCTGGAGAAAATTGCAGATGGAAATTAATCCCAATTCATTACCAAATTTCGAACTGAGTTTTAACTATTTATCTCTGGTGCACAAGATTAAGTAATTAATAGTGTTAATGACCGTAGTTTTACTGTCTAAATTTCAGTAAAATGGTAAAAATTTAAACATTAAACTTTGTTTTTGAAAGATTAATTCAACTTATGCTTTGTTTGTTTGAAAGTTTTAAAAATGATTTCTGAAAAAACGAAGGTAATCTTTTAAAATATTTTATAAAAGTGATGAAGTTGAAAAATAATGAATTGGATAAGATTTAAGTTATAATCATAAAAATATTTTCCCCAATAATTTATGATCCTAGTTCAAATATATTTTAAATCCATGTAAATGCGTATAAATTTTATTTTATTTTTCATATTAGTGTTATAAAATGATAGAAACTAAATATGTTTCTATTGTTGAAAATATTTTTTTATTTTTATTCATAAAATAAAATATTAGAAATAAAAACTTATTTTTAAAAATCAAAATAATGGTTTACTTACTAATAGGGATTTATTCAAGTGGTAAGTACATTGATATCGCTTAAGTATGCCTCGAGTTTGAGTTTTTGTGGATGTAGAAAAATTCTGTTGGGAGACACACTCTTCAAAACCATGTGTATGACGCGGGTCGATCCGAATTAATCAAGGCAAAACATTGAAATCGTCGGGTTTTGAACCTTAAGATTTTGAAAAATTAGCATTTGATCTTTTAGAAGTTCTAATTTAGTTTTATTTTCCAAAACATTTAAAACTTTTGTTCAGTTTTATTTTTTAAAAATATTTTTAATTACTTTTAAAGTTCTTATTGAATATATATATAATATTTTAATTTAAAATTTAAATTTTTTTTAGAAAAAATCGAATAAACTTTTATAAATTATTTTGTCATAGTTTCACAATAGAAATGGACTTTTTTAAATAAAAAAAAATTGACTTACTTACAGCCTAAGAATAAAGATCACACATTCTCCACCACTAAGAAGTTTCAGCTCTCATAAAAATTGAAAACTTTATGTCGAAGGTAAACTAAACCGTTAAACAGGCTGACTTTTTTCAAATCAAAGTTGGTCAAACTACATAAGTGGGGGCCATTTAAACAACCAATAGCAACCAAAGAAATAAATTCTCCTCTTTTATTTAAAGAATAAGTAATCTAAATTCCAGATTTGTCTAGTACCAAAATTATCTGAGTGCAGCTCCACACTTCTGCTTTATATGCCTTTTTTTAAAAAAAATTCATTTCTCTTATCATCATTTAGGGTTTTAATCATAACAGCGGCTTTTGCTCTCGTTGATCAGTGAAAGGTAAAGTTCCAATAGAATTTCGAGGCTTTTAAGTGGTTTTGTTCTTTTATGTAACTAGATTTCTAGTGATTTTTAGTATTCAATGGTGAATTTACTGGATCTGCTCTCTCATTTATTTTTAGTATTGGATTCTTTTTGGTTCCTAGAGTATTACTTGGAGTATTTAGATATTTTAGTATATTAAACAGTTTTTGAATGGGTGAATTCGTACGTGATACTGATTTAAATGTAATTTGATCTGGAAACTTGTTTAATTTCAATGAATTTAATTTTTAATGTCTATTTGGCACAATGGATCTGAAATTCAGAATATTGAAGTTTTCATATCAGTTGTGTACTTACGTAAAATGTAAATTGAGATGAAACCATGGTTTTGTTTTATTGGCTGCCTATTGGTATCAGACTTGTTAATTTCATTTTCTATTTTTCATTAACCAATCCATTAAGTATGATTTCTTTTTTGCTTATAAAAGTTTATACTTTAATGTATTTTGTTGTTGATTGTCTGATTTCTCATTGATTGATACTTTTTGATACTTTTTAATACTTTCACAAATTCTAGGAGATGGAAGTTACACAGGTGCTTCTGAATGCACAATCAATTGATGGAAGTATACGAAAAAATGCTGAAGAAAGCTTGAAACAGTTTCAAGAGCAAAACCTTCCTTGTTTCTTGCTGTCACTCTCTGGAGAGTTGGTAAATGAGGAGAAGCCTTTGGAAACACGTAAATTAGCGGGTTTGATACTTAAGAATGCATTGGATGCTAAGGAACAACACAGGAAGTTTGAGCTTGTTCAAAGATGGTTGTTGTTGGATGACAATGCAAAGAGCCAAATTAAGGCATGCTTACTTAAGACCATTTCTTCTCCAGTGTCTGATGCTCGATCAACTGCTTCGCAAGTCATTGCGAAGGTTGCTGGCATTGAGTTGCCACAGAAACAGTGGCTCGAGTTGATAGGTTCTCTTTTATCAAATGTTCATCTGTCTCCAGCTCATGCGAAGCAAGCTACTTTGGAGACTCTTGGATATCTGTGTGAGGAGGTCTCTCCTGATGTTTTTGATCAAGATAAAGTAAATAAAATACTTACGGCTGTATTTCAAGGTATGAGTGCATCGGAAAGAAACACTGATGTGAGGCTTGTTGCGACAAGAGCACTTAATAATGCACTGGGATTTGCTCTGGCAAATTTCAACAATGACATGGAGCGTGATTATCTAATGAGAGTTGTCTGTGAGGCAACGCAATCTTCAGACATGAGGATAAGGCAGGCAGCTTTTGAGTGTTTGGTTTCTATTTCATCAACTTAGTATGAAAAACTAGCTTCTTATATTCAAGATATTTTTAATGTTACGGCAAAGACTGTGAGGGAAGATGATGAATCTGTTGCTCTTCAAGCTATTGAATTCTGGAGCTCAATATGTGACGAGGAGATTGATATTTTGGAAGAATACGGAGGTGTTAATGGGGATTCTGATATTACTTGCTTTTACTTCATCAAGCAGGCTCTTCCTGCTCTTGTTCCTATGCTGTTGGAGTTGCTGTTGAAGCAGGAAGAGGATCAAGATCAGGATGAAGGGGCTTGGAATATTGCAATGGCTGGTGGAACTTGTCTTGGTTTGGTTGCACGGACTGTAGGAGATGATATAGTCCCTCTTGTTGTCCCTTTTATCGAGGAGAATATAGCCAAACCAGATTGGAGGCAGAGGGAGGCCGCAACTTATGCCTTTGGTTCAATCCTGGATGGTCCTTCTCCTGAAAAATTATTACCTCTTGTGAATGTTGCCCTAAACTTTATGCTAAGTGCTTTGACAAAGGACCCCAATAGCCCTGTCAAAGACACTACTGCCTGGACCCTTGGACGGATCTTTGAATTCCTTCATGGCTCAGTTATTGGTTTACCAATCATCACTCAAGAAAATTGCCAACAAATAGTCATAGTTCTGCTACAGAGCATGAAGGACACTCCAAATGTGGCTGAGAAGGCCTGTGGTGCTCTGTATTTTCTCACTAAAGGTTATGAGGAGGTGGGTCCTTCATCCCCTTTAGCGCCTTTTTTCCAGGAAATTGTGCAGTCCCTTCTCACTGTCACTCACCGAGAAGATGCCAGGGAATCCCGGCTGAGGACAGTTGCTTATGAGACATTGAACGAAGTGGTAAGGTGTTCAACTGATGAGACAGCTCCATTGGTGTTGCAACTGGTGCCCATCATCATGATGGAGCTTCATATCACTCTTGAGGGGCAGAAACTGTCATCTGATAAAAGAGAGAAACAGAGTGAATTCCACGACCATCTTTGTGGATGCTTACAGGTTATTATCCAGAAGCTCGGTTCATCAGAACCAACCAAGCATGTGTTCATGCAGTATGCAGATCAGATAATGGGTCTTTTCCTAAGGGTTTTTTCTTGCAAGAGTGCAACTGTGCATGAGGAGGCCATGCTTGCAATTGGAGCCCTTGCTTATGCAACAGGGCCAGATTTTGCTAAGTACATGCCAGATTTTTATAGGTACCTGGAAGTGGGTCTTCAGAATTTCGAAGAGTACCAAGTCTGTGCTGTCACAGTTGGTGTTGTGGGTGATATTTGTAGGGCGTTAGAGGACAAAATTGCTCCTTACTGTGATGGGATTATGACACAACTTCTCAAGAATTTATCAAGCAATCAGTTGCGTCGTTCTGTGAAGCCTCCCATATTTTCGTGCTTTGGTGACATTGCATTGGCTGTTGGAGAGTATTTCGAAAAGTACTTAATGTGGGTCATGTCTGCTCTTCAGAGAGCAGCAGAGTTATCAACCCATGTTTTAGGAGATGATGAATTGACAGAGTACACAAATTCCCTGAGAAATGGAATTCTGGAGGCATATTCTGGGATTTTCCAAGGGTTTAAAAGCTCTCCGAAAACCCAGCTCTTGATTCCTTATGCACCTCACATCCTCCAGTTCTTGGATGGCATATACATGGAGAAAGACATGTGAGTTCTACTAAAATAATACTCTTTGAGGCTCGTACTCTATTGAATGCCTCGTCTTTTGACGTGTGGTTGTAACAATCTTTTTTATGTTATACTTATTTTACTATAGGGATGATGTGGTAATGAAGACTGCTATCGAAGTACTTGGAGATGTAGCCGATACATTGGGAAGTCATGCTGGTTCTTTGATTCAGCAATCACTTTCGTGCAAAGACTTTCTAAATGAATGCTTGTCTTCAGAGGACCTTATGATTAAAGAATCAGCCGAATGGGCCAAGTTGGCCATTACTCGTGCCACTTCTGTTTGATGGTGTCGTCGTTCCTCATTTTTATTTTTTCTGTTGGAAATCCCATGCATTTGTCTGTGTTGAGTTGAGGGTCCGGGATTGCATGCGTCAAGTCTTCACCATTTTCATGATAACAGAAGTTGTTATCGGTCTTCAAGTCGTTAACTCTTGCATCATCATCATCATCATCACGGGGTTAGATTCCATTTTTTCGACATGGAAGTGGATTGGGGTGACTTCCAAGAAGTTTATGTTCATTGCATTGAAGTCGAGGGGAAAGAGTATCTTTCGGTCCTCTGAACGACCAATGACAAACTGTACCGACTAAATAGTAGCGTTGGTCACTTTCAATCGCTGTGCGTGAACACCCCTCGTGGCAAGACCGGCATCATTTTTGCCCTTGGTTTGTTTTTCTCCAAGTAAATATCGGATCGAGGCCTAGGGTTCAAAAATCCGCAGCAGCTTGAGAACAATCTCCAAGTGCAGCATTTCATTTTCGCAGTTTCTTTTTTATTTTTGTAGCATACGTCTGCATGTTCCTTTTCGAGTATACATACATACATACACACATACCATTCTGTGCCCGGGTTGCATTAAAGCTCCATAGCTGCTTTTGTGTAATTGTTTGTTACCTAATTGGGAGCCAATTGCTCAAATATCATGCATTCATAAGTCCTTTGCTTTGCCTTACATTTCTGTATATATTTTTTCCAAAGTTGAGATGGTATATATTTGGAATATACATATAATTTGGAACGAGCACATGCTCGTGTATTTGACAGTCACGTTCATTTATGTACTCTTGATATATTATTTATTCAAAATTAAGGTTATGGGTTAAAATTTAAATATACATATGAAATACTGCAGGTATTAAAAAGTGGACATAATAACTTAAACTATTGAAGTTACTTAAAATCATTATTATATAATTTTTTAATGAAATATACAGATGATTGAGGATACTTCTCAAACCAATAAGAATTTCCGAAGCAACAGTCAAGGCGAACTGAACAATTCCCTTGGTATCTGGTGAAATCCGAGCCATGGTAATCAAGATCATGTAATTCGCAATGGAAAACTGTACCCTGAAAATCAGAATCTGGAACAGACGACAGAGCTCCTCTTTTACGATCTTCCGGGGCAAGAGTAACATTCAAATCACCAATCAAAGTCCGAGGGCCTGAGATGCTCATCGAAAGCGATTTAAATGGGTTCAAAGAGCTTTTCTCTTACGATGGTTGGGGTTTACATAAATGAAAGTAGCCAAAAAGGAACGCTGGCTGTACAAATCAGAAATCGTGCAATGGATAAATTGAAAATGACAAAGAGATACCTTTGTACACGTACATTGTGAAAGAGATACCTTTGTGCAAAAATGACGTGGAAGTTGCCTTTTGAAAGACATGTGTTTATCTACCCCCAAAAGCATTAATATTGTTGTTCAACAACGAATATTCTAGGCTGAAAATAAATAACGAAACAGTGATACGAGTGTACTTTTCTTGAAAAAAACATAAGCTTTAAATTACAAAACTTTCTTGGAAGTCTCCTGAACATTGCTTTAATTTTAATTATTATAAATACTGATGAAATTGAACATCAGTAGAGTCAGGATGGCCGAGTGGTCTAAGGCGCCAGACTCAAGTTCTGGTCCTCGTGAGAGGGCGTGGGTTCAAATCCCACTTCTGACATAGTTATTTTTAAATCCCATCAATGGGCTGTCGTAATAGTCCATTCGTCTTAGCCTAAATCATTGGGCTTAATCCTCATTGTTTAACGAACGTGAGTTGGGTCGTAGCATTACAAACACATGGTTTAGTTCAGCTAATTCATGTAATTACAGGATATTAAGAAGTGTTGGTTACATATTTAAAATTTTAAACAGATGATTTTTTTTATTTTAGGGGTGAACTTTTAAAATTCTAGAGGTAGAATTTATAAAATTTAAGGCTAGCATTTATAAAATTATCAAAAGCTAGGATGTACGAAGTTCAGCTTCTAGCCCATTATCACCATCTTGCAGGTTGTATGTTGATCGGCTTTAAAAATGCGGAACTATTACTAAGCTATGCCTAATTATTCTCTTTCACGTTATTGAGACTCTTCATTTCTGTTATCCGTGTTTGACACTCGTGTTCGTTTCTCTATTTAAAACCAGAAAAGATCGATCCTTTCTTCGACATATATGCTGTCTTAAAAGCTAACCAGGGACGATTCAAAACTCCGATACTGATGCTAGTTTAGCAGTGAGTAGAGACGCCAACAAGTTTTGCTTCTCACCCGAATTTTATTTAATTCCTCGACACTGACTCGAAAAATTAAACCAAATATATATAATAAAAATATATTAAAGATAGTTATAAGCATATAGCTTCATCCTTGAAGTTCTGTTTTCTCAATATTCATCCAAATAAGTATACAGCATCTCATCTTTCTTTGATTTCCGACGACTAAGCAATGCTTTGAGAAGCCTCTTACTTTTGCCCGGAGACTGATCGATGTCTCTGTGGACATCTTTCTCCGATTGAAGATGCATCGAATCTGATTTTCGAGGCTCTGATGGATACTAGCAGCAAAAACCAAACTCATTAGAAAAGATATATATAACGAAGAACATATCATAACGTATAAGCAGAGTTAGCACTGCATGACTTGAGCAATGCTTCTTTGTCAGATTAGTTAATTCTTATATGCTCACCCGCTGCATTGTGCTGGCTGAAATCGGAGTAGTCGATCGGCTCTTATTTGGGGCGTGGGGCCTGCTAACGGATGCAGACCGTAAAAGTGGAAACCGATGTGGCGATTCTGCTCGCTTCTCTGATCATGCATGTAAGCGTAATCAATGAGTTCATAACTCATGAAGTGAAAGGGAAAAAAGTATCCAAACCTTGTTCTTTCTTCGGCATGGTGTTCGTAAACGAAAAGACGGGGGATTGTTGTGGAGGCCGCTGAGAAGGTGACGGAGAACGCCCTTTTCTGCAATTGTCAATAGAAGTATCGGATTAACTAACTATGGTTTACCAATGCATTGCACTAGAAATGTAACGTTTGTTAGCCTATACCCGATCGACATTGGGGTTTCGGAGACCGAAGATGTCGGGGATTGTCGGATCGTAGCGCAGACAGCTTAAAAATTCAATGATTGTAACTATCCAGCTCAGTTGGTAGAGCACAAGGTTCTTAACCTTGAGGTCGTGGGATCGAGTCCCACGGAGGGCATTTCATAATTCGGAGGTCTCTTACGGAAGCTGCTCTCAACCTGATGTTAGGGGTAGCCTACTATCTTACCTCCCCTTACCCCATATATATGGGGAAAAGGGACAGCTATTTTTTATTGTAACAATTTTTAAAAATTAGATGACCAAAATGAATACGTCTTAAACGTTTGGTGACCATTTATGTAGCTTACCTTCATTTTTATTACTGAAATCCCAAAATAATATTGTATTATCCAAACCAGTGTTTTGAAAATCAGACCGGATCGGACCAGCCGATTCAACCGGGAACCGCTATCTGGTTCGGTTCATTGTAATCCGGTTAAACCGCTACTACTGAACCGAACAGAACCACTGAACCGTTCGAACCGGACCGTGAACCAGTTGAACCGCCAAATTTTTTATAAAAAAAATTAAACCAAACGACGTCGTTTGTTAAACGAGCCGAGTCGAATTCGAGTATTGCTAAGCTCGACTCGAACTTGAAAACTTTAAAAGTAAGCTCAACTCGACTCAAACTCACAAGCTAAAAATTATCAAGTTCAACTCGAACTCGAAATATAATATTGAAACTTGAACTCGAAAAGGCTCGAACTCAAAAAAAAATTAGAAGCTCGATTGAAGCCTAAAAATCGAGCTTGATTGAAGTGAAAGAATAGTTCACTCTATGCTCACCAAAAGACTACATGATTTTGAATGTCAAATTACCTCTATTATTTATAGAAGTTAATTGGGATGTTCTTCTATGTTTCTTAGCCATGTGGGATTGTTTTGTTCTCATATTTTTACTCTTTAGACTTCTGAGATGCTCTTCTATGTTTATTAGCCATGTGAGATTATTTTTTTTAAAAAATTAAACCAAACAATATCATTTTATTATGATTTTTTTAGCCCAAATTTTTTTATTATAGTTATATAATTATATTTATTATTTAATATGTTTTATCTTAAATATTATGTTGTAGTTAATTTGAATCATTTTGTTTTACTTGATTTTATGGTTTTTAACTTATATATGTTATGACTTGCTTTGAATATGACTTGTGATATAAAAAATTATTTTTTATTAAATATTTTTGGTATTTTTATTTAATTTTTTAAATAATTATGACGTCGTCCGGTTCTTCCGACCGATCGGACCAGTTCGACCGATTGAATCAGTGAACCGATAACATGGCCGGTTCGCTAACCGATCCGGTTCTAAAAACCATGATCCAAACCAAACCCACCATAAAAGTACATAAATTACGTTTGTGTCCCCGGGATTGTCTCAGGAAAGGCAGACTAATATACGGCTAATATACGGCTTTACCGGATACATTAAAAGATATTTTGTTAGGATTTTCGGAAGCTCGAAACGACAATTGGAACGATTTGCAAAGAGGGGTCGGAACGGTTTTGTGTTTAGGGAGTAAGGAGATTGAAAGATAGAGAATTGCACAGTGATTTATAGTGGTTCGACTTTCTCAATCAAAGTCTACATCCACTACCTTAGCTCCTCACTAAGGATTTTCCAACAAATTCACTAATTTGTTCTTTCTTTTGAGGATAAAGAGTAACCTTACAAACTCCCTAGTTTTTCCGGGCTAAACTAGAACCTTTCCCTAGCTTTTACACGGGCTAAGCTAGAACATTTCCCCTTTACAAAAGGATAATAAATGTAAACAAGAAAACCTCTCTAAGGTAGGTGTTTACAAGATTGAGCTCACAAGAACAAAATATTTACAAGAGAAAGATGAAATAAGATTGAAAAACTCTTCTCTTATGTTTGATTGCTTGGATAGTTGTTCTCTCTCTTCTTCAAGTGTCCTCAGCTTGTATTTATAGCTTGGAATGAGTTTGAAGTCGTATATAGCCGTTGGGGATGTTTTGGAGCCGTTTGGGGATGATTTTTATACTCAAAAAGGTTGCCCAGAATAGAGGGAATCGGTACCCCTTCATAGGGAATCGATACCCCTTCATAATATTCAAATATTATGACCGTTGGGCTGTTGAACAGGGGGGGAATCGGTACCCCTGGGGGGGAATCGGTACCCCCTGGACATTCTGTTTTTCTCGGAGGCAAAAACCTGCAGGGGGTATCTGTACCCCCTGGGGGGGTATCTGTACCCGGGGTATCTGTACCCCCTGGGGGGGAATCTATACCCCCTGGGCAATCTTGAAACCCCTTAAAATATTTTTAGCTCAAATCCGAATTTTAATTGATTTTGAATTATTTTTGAAACCTTTTAAAAACTTTGAATAAATTCAATTAAGTCCAAAAACATTTTGTAAATTCAATTCAAGTCCAAAAACCATTTTGCCTTAAATTGTTATATCGAAACATAGTTCAACAATCTCCCCCTTTTTGATATAACAAAACATTTAAAAAATTGTTTTTGACAAAACTCCCCCTTAATAAAATGTTTAATGAAAAAGATACTAATTGTTGGAAAACATATGAAAATGTTAAGCTCCCCCTTTTTCATTAAGAAATTGAATTTTTCAAACCAAACTTCTCCCCCTTTTTGTTATATAAAAAATAATTCGATCTTTGAAGTTTAAAATAACTTTGGAGAGTAAGTAGTAAATTTTACATTTAAAAATCATTTGAAAAATCAAAGCTCCCCCTCAATAAATGTATTCCAAACAAAATTAAGCTTTTAAGATCTTGACACTTAAACAAAATATTGAATTTCTAAAAAGAATAACAAACATGTTTGTAGCACATGAAATTCAATATATCCAAGTCTAAAATATTTTATGCAATACCAATTGTTGAAATTTGATATTAATACCAATTGCTAAAATTAAGTGTATTTGCATAAAGTTTTCCAAAAATGTTATGCAATTTTAAAAATTTGATATCAATTGCTAGAGAGATATCATTTTCATTTAGACCACATGCATAAACATTCAAATTTAGGCCAAAAATTAAAATTTATAAAATCAAAGTATTTTGAAATTTGATATCAATTGTTAAAGAGATATCATTAGCATTTAAACCAATTTTGACCAAAATTCATTATGATGAACTAAAATTCTCAAAAATAAATGTTCATCATAATCATCTTTTCAACATACATGAGATTAAAACAATGATGCATAATCATTTAAAACCAAAACTCATGCATGCTTAAAATCAAATGAGCAACCAAATAACCTAAATTAAAAGCATTAAGCTTAGAGGTTACCCATTCCTTTTTCATGTGTGGCTAGAGCATCTTGAATATCATCACTCTCATCACCATTGCTCCCACACATCTACAAGAGACATTTAAGTAGATTTTGGTATCCAAATTGCTTTGGATCCTTGAACGTTAGTTTCAATGCCCCTTGTTCCTTTCGGAACCCATACTTGCCTAATTTTAAAACGTTTTCCTTTCTTCAAAGGACAAGTATGTTCCAAATGACCATGATAATGACAATGTGAGCATATTGTCATTATTGAACTAAATGAATTATTTAAAATGATTTCTTTTTCTTTTGTTAAGCATTCAAGCTTAACTTTTAAATCAAAATTTTGTTTTTTTCAAAACTATCAATTTTTATTTTTTGAAAGCTCTAAATCCTTTTTCAACATTTCATTTTGGCTTTCAAAATCTATTTTTGTTTTCAAAAGAAAATCGTTTTCAATTTTATATTTTGAAATCATTTTCTTATATTTGGAGTTCATGGTCTCAAACTCCGAATATAACCTATTAAAAGCATCTTGTAACTCATCAAATGTATATGAATTAAATTCATTTGAGTTAGAAGATACCTCGGGCTCTTCATAAGCCATTAGAGACACCACCTTTGTTGGTTCTTCTTTCTTGTTTCCATGGATTTCCTTGAGCTTATTCCAAAGCTCCTTGGCACTTGAACATGAAGAAACTCCTTCATAGATTTTAGGACCAAATGCACAAAACAACATGTGCATGGCCTTGGCATTAAGTTGAGCTTTCTTCCGTTCTTTGTCACTCCGCTTCTTCTCCTTCTTCTTTGGAGAAGAGTATCCATTCTCGATTATCTCCCATACATCAAGATCATTGGATTGGATGAATACCTTCATTAATTTCTTCCAATGATGATAGTTGTCTCCATTGAAGTATGGAGGCTTGTCCGTTGGTAGGGAGTCTTCCATGTGGAACGAGCCGGAGGTGGAGGCCATCTTCTCGGTTGTGTCGGGAATTGGTAGAGCTTCTTCTAGGATCGTCTCAAGGTGGTTAAACCTTCTTAACGAGTTAGGCTCTGATACCAATTGTTAGAATTTTCGGAAGCTCGAAACGACAACTGGAACGATTTGCAAAGAGGGGTCGGAACGGTTTTGTGTTTAGGGAGTAAGGAGATTGAAAGATAGAGAATTGCACAGTGATTTATAGTGGTTCGACTTTCTCAATCAAAGTCTACGTCCACTACCTTAGCTCCTCACTAAGGATTTTCCAACAAATTCACTAATTTGTTCTTTCTTTTGAGGATAAAGAGTAACCTTACAAACTCCCTAGTTTTTCCGGGCTAAACTAGAACATTTCCCTAGCTTTTACACGGGCTAAGCTAGAACCTTTCCCCTTTACAAAAGGATAATAAATGTAAACAAGAAAACCTCTCTAAGGTAGGTGTTTACAAGATTGAGCTCACAAGAACAAAATATTTACAAGAGAAAGATGAAATAAGATTGAAAAACTATTCTCTTGTGTTTGATTGCTTGGATAGTTGTTCTCTCTCTTCTTCAAGTGTCCTCAGCTTGTATTTATAGCTTGGAATGAGTTTGAAGTCGTATATAGCCGTTGGGGATGTTTTGGAGCCGTTTGGGGATGATTTTTATACTCAAAAAGGTTGCCCAGAATAGAGGGAATCGGTACCCCTTCATAGGGAATCGATACCCCTTCATAATATTCAAATATTATGACCGTTGGGCTGTTGAACAGGGGGGGAATCGGTACCCCTGGGGGGGAATCGGTACCCCCTGGACATTCTGTTTTTCTCGGAGGCAAAAACCTGCAGGGGGTATCTGTACCCCCTGGGGGGGTATCTGTACCCGGGGTATCTGTACCCCCTTGGGGGGAATCTATACCCCTGGGCAATCTTGAAACCCCTTAAAATATTTTTAGCTCAAATCCGAATTTTAATTGATTTTGAATTATTTTTGAAACCTTTTAAAAACTTTGAATAAATTCAATTAAGTCCAAAAACATTTTGTAAATTCAATTCAAGTCCAAAAACCATTTTGCCTTAAATTGTTATATCGAAACATAGTTCAACATATTTGACAAATTCTGTTTAGCTCTACCGGAAATATCGAGTAATAATAATGTAATAGGTGTAAATCATGAAGAAATATTAAAAAATTTGGCAACCGGCAAACTTAACTTGTCGGTTTGTGTCAATACTTTATAAAAATATATTGATCCATAACAATATAATAGGTTAAAAAATTACAAAACCGATCTATAAATGACAAAACAGGTAAAGCGCTACTGGATATATTGAAAGTGTCGATACATTATAAAAATATATTGATCCATAACAATATAACAGGTAAAAAAATGACAAAATCGGTCTATAAATAACAAAACATGTCGGATATATTAAAAGTGTCGATACTTTATAAAAATGTATCGATCCATAACAATATAACAAGTAAAAAAATGACAAAACCGGTCTATAAATGACAAAACAGGTAAATTTCTATCGGATATATTGAAAGTGTCAATATTTTATAAAAATGTATCGATCCATAACCATATAACAAGTAAAAGATGACAAAACCGATCTATAAATGACAAAACAGGTAAAGCGCTACCGGATATATTGAAAATGTCGATACTTTATAAAAATGTATAGATTCATAACAATATAACAAGTAAAAATATGACAAAACCGGTAAAGAGCTACTGGATATGTTGAAAGTGTCGATACTTTATTATAAGTATCGACACTTTTAGAATTTAAAAGAAAAGAAGTTATAGTGCCAATAAAGTGTCGATACTTTATAAAAATATATTGATTTATAATAATATAACATGTAAAAATATAACAAAATCGGTCTCGAAATGACAAAACCGGTAGTAAAAAAGTATGCTTGTGTGGTCATTTTTATTTCATAATTTTCATTTTTTAATACAAAAAGTTAGATATTTTAAGCAAAACTCAGTAAGAAAAGAACAAAAACTTTACAGTAACAAAAGAATAACATTGGGAAACACACCATGTTATCAGTTTCTCAAAGAACAAAAATTCAGAAACAGACATCTCTCAACGCAAACTTATGATATACTTTTATTATCTCCATAGGATAAAGTTATGTCAGTTTTAGTTTTATTTTTTGGTTAGGATTTTGTGTCACTGTTGATTGAAGAACTCAAACTGGTGTACGCATAAGTGTCGATCCAAAAAACATCGAAATCGATAATTATTATGTAACAGATAAATTTACAATGTAACCGGTAAAAATATACTGATTAATTAGCAAATAAGTTTACATTATGTATCGACACTCTTTAAATATGTGTCGATATTTTTTTCCCAAAATGAAAGAACAACGAGGTGCACGCATAAAGTGTCGATACATTTAAAATTGTATCAATCCCAAAAACATCAAAACCGATAATTATAATGTAATAGATAAATTTACAATGTTACCAATTTAAATATACATGTTTAGTTAAAAAATATGTCAATATAAGCGCTATCTTTTACATTATATAAACGCTACATAATATATTATTGTACTTGATAATATTTTCGATTAAATGATATAACATAAATAATCTAAATTTCAACCGATCCTTTGTTTAACGAGTCACACTATTTTTTAGCCGTTTTGTAGGTGACGTACAATAAAGTTCCCTTGTGTCCCCACCGTAGGCAACGCCTCCTATTATATATAACCCCTAAGCGAACATTCTTGTTCTACCGGCTGATCAAAAACTCAACACTACGCAGCATCTCAACTCACCTGAGTCAAATCATGGCAATAATCTCCGAGTTTCAGGAAGAAGAGGCTAAGACCTCTACATCTTCACCGCCACCGTCGAAAGCGGTTCCGTTTAACGCGAACTTGGATCCGTCCGATCCAGTTGGGTTTTTGGTGAAAGTCTTCGATTTTCTAGCAAAAGAAAGTGATTTTCTTCGGAAAGAGAACGCTGATAAGGAGATTGCGGCTATTGTGAGAGTTGCGAAGGAGAAGAACAAGAAGAAGGCTGAAGAGGTGGCTCCGAAGGTGGAGAGAAAGGAGGTCAAGGAGGAAGTGAAGAGGGAGCCAATGAAGGTTGATAAAAAGGAAGAAGAGAGTAGCTCTGGTTTGAAAGGTTCGAATTTCTTAATTTCTTTAAATTTTTCTTCTTCTCCTTTTTAATATTTTTTTAAATCATGCAAGGCTAACTTGTGGAAATTTGTTTCTCTTTGAAAACATAATAATCTGAGGTCTGCATTTTTAAGTGTTTGATTCTTTGTGTTTTGAACTTTAGACGATGAAAAGGATTTAAACGATTAAAATAGTAATTACTTACTAGGCTCTTTAGAGTTTTGATTTGTGTTTATAGCACGGTTTGCTTGTTTGGAATGAAATCTAAAAACAAGACCATGCTCTGCTTCTTTTTACTGTCCTGAAACTTTAGCAGAGATTGTTGTATGTTGGATATGGAAAGGAACCTTATACTAAGCAAACTTGAGTAAGTTTCAAGAGTTGAGGCACATAATCGAGCTTGAGCTATGTGCTGTCTATGAATTTGACTCTAGCTCAAATACGCCCCTTTAATATAGTGCTGGTCCTCTATCCCATTGTCTAGCAATTTTTTTCATGATGTCTTTCACGGATTTCACTAAAAAAATAAGTTAGTAGGCGTCCATGGTGTGAAGGTTTTTTGATGTTTATTTTGTTCTAAGAGAAGACATGGAAACATTTTGGGTAGGGCGATTTTGTCCTGGCATGTTTTGGACTTTGATTGAAGCAGGGAGGTTTGATTGCATAAGCTTAATGATAGTCTTGGTGTAAGTTGGATTTGATCACCTGAAACATCTAGTCATTTTCTTAGAAACATGGTAGTGAAGGCTTTTAGTTTGCAGCAATGTTATACTTGGCTCAACCGTGCACCGTACTAATGTTGAACTTCCCATAAATTCTTCTAGTATTGGAGGTTGTAGACAGTGCCAGGTTTCACATATTGCTTCTTATATGTTGAATTGCATGGTGCTTTCTCTTCCCCCATCTTTTTGTTCATTTTTAACTGATTTAGGTGTGCATTCTCACAATTGGGGCTAATGGAAGGTGTAGATGATATGATTTTATTACAAGTGGCTATGCTTGTTAAATCCATAATTGGCTACAAAGATGTGCGCCCTGTTGGATTGCCTGTAATAAAGGGACTTCTTTACTTATTTTGCTTGTATGGGTGTCTTCTTTTTATTGTCTAGGGGGGATGGAAAATGTTCATGATTAAGTTGGGGTTAACATGTGATCAAGTTTTACATGGAGGATTTCGAATTTGACATTCTATGAGGCATGCAAAAATGTAACTCAAAGATTAGTTAGGTTCACTGTATTATTTATACTTCTCCAAATGTTTGGAATGTTTGGACAGCTCCAAACAAAGGCAATGGTCTTGATCTGGAGAAATACTCTTGGACACAAACCCTGCCAGAGGTCACTGTTAATGTTCCAGTTCCCTGTGGAACAAAATCAAGGCTTGTTGTATGTGAGATTAAGAAGAATCATTTCAAAGTTGGACTAAAGGGCCAGCCTCCTATTATCGATGTAAGTTAGTCATTGTGCTTTTTGAGGTAGTCTTAATTGGTTTACATCAGAGTCACATACTTTTTTTTTCAGGGGGAACTTTTCCAAGCTGTCAAACCCGATGATTGTTACTGGAGCATAGGTATGTTATCTCAAAGAAAATACAAGTCGTGTACTGCAAGTTGAGCTTTATTTGTACTATTCTTTTCCCCCTTCAGCTAGAGCTTACAAGTTCGCAATTATTCTAGTATTTCAAAAGCATATGTTTTTCGGACTTGGTTGTGTGTTGGACGTGATTATGTATCCGTGATGAATATATTCAATTTTTCCATGTATTCTGGGAGTCATTTGATGGTCTTAACTCTGATCTCCATACCCATGTCAGAAATATGTCCTATTGAGGTTTAGACATATAGATACTTAAAAAAAGTTGAAGAGTAAGGATAATATACTTAAATTCCAACCTAGTACATCTTGATTTTTATATGAACTAAGAATACCTTGTTCAAATCTGCATCATTCTCTTTTATTGTCGGTTTAAAAATCTTTCCCACACTTCTTGTAGAGGATGGTTGTGCGCTGTCAATCCTTTTGACCACAACCAAATGGAGTGGTGGAAATCATTGGTAAAAGGGGATCCTGAAATTGACACTCAGAAAGTCGAACCAGAGAACAGCAAACTGTCTGACTTGGATCCCGAAGCACGACAAACCGTAGAGAAGATGATGGTAATTAGTTCTACCTTTTCTGTGATATTTTGCTTTTGGATGGTTTTTATCTGCCAAAGGGGCTTTCGTCCCGGAAAAAGTCAAATTGCGTAGTTTTTAGTGTTCTTTGTTTTTGTTTTCCGATTGTAAAACTTTGGATCCATCGTAAAACCATGGTCGGTACTTGGTCATAAAAATGGTGCGCTTTGTTGCAGTTCGACCAACGACAGAAGGCCATGGGCCTTCCAACCAGTGATGAGCTTCAGAAGCAAGAAATTCTGAAGAAATTCATGTCCGAGGTAACCATTCTCTTCCACAACTTGTTCTATTGCATCCGACTTTATTAATCCTCATATGGAGCTTTAGGTGATAAAATTTGCTCAAATATATTTGTTGGTATTTTTGCAGCATCCTGAGATGGATTTTTCAGGGGCAAAGCTGATGTAAGACGTGGGAGTGGATCTTTACAACTTTGGTAAAATTTGCTTACTTATAATTATGGGTTTTGGATTTTATTTTGATAAAAATAACTATATGAATTTTATAATATTATTAGGTAAAATTTTAGTATCTGTGAATATCTTTTTAAAAGGGGTGATGTGTGCACATTCTTTGAACCACATAAGAAGTATAATCAGGGACAGAGTCTGAATTTAACCTTAATAGAGGTTGGATCTGTTAAACGGTCTTAAATTTTGTGCATAGTTTTATTTTTTTAATATTTATTTATTTTAAAAATATAAATTATAACATCAAATATGTGTATTAATTTTATCATTTTTATGTAATAACAAATAGAAAATTAAAGCAAATAATGGAAAGAGATACAGTTTTAAAATGTGTTAAAGATATAATTATCATATAATTGTAACAAAACGTGTTACTTTTTTTTTAATTTTTAAATACATTCACGATATTATACTAAATATATTAAAATTAAACAATTTTAATTAATAAATATATTAGTATTTAATTACCTACCTAAAGTTTGACTTAATTAAATTTGGATCACTTTAATAATTCTCTGATAATAAATAATTTAATGGGCTTACTTTTATTATGGACCTGATGGTTTTATCATAATATTATATGTTGAAAAAAATGAGTTAATAGACCATTATATTTTGTTTTGGGAAAGATAAAATATCTGTAATTTTTTAAGATAAATTACATGTTTAATACCAAAATTATTACTTTTGTTCTGTTTTTATAGCTGAATTTTATTTTTTTTTCAAAATCATATCTAATTACCCCACATTAAAAACTTAAAGGTGATGATGTATCATCATAAAATAATGTTACATCATCATTAAAAAATAAAATAAAAATATCATGTTAACAATTCTATTAATTTTTTTAATGTCGGATAGAAAATTAAAACTTAAATTAAACGTTAGATATGATTTAAAAAAATAACATTTAGATATCAAAATAGAACAAAAATAATAGTTTAGATACTAAACTTATAGTTTATCCAATTTTTTAACAATTCTTATACTAGTATAAATACTAAATTTATAAATTGCAAACAGGATTCTTTTGGGCTTCAATGGCCCTCCGTCCCTGAGTACAATTTTCTCTTTATTACTAGCACTGTTCTTTAAGTTCATAAAAAATTATTCTTTTTATTACTATTTGAAATATCGGAAATTTACTATAAAAATAGAAGTTATAAAATAAACCAAAAATGAATGTTCAAATTAGGTGTGGACAATTTTTAAATTTATAAATTATAAAGTAAGTACACAGACAATTCAATTAGGTATTCAACTTTTTCAATTGTTTTACTCGGTGTTGCTATCTACCACAATCTATAATTTTGATTAAATCTCGTGTTCGTACTCAAGAAACTGATATGGCCCAATGGAATTTAAAATGGAACAAAAGACATTAATATGACCATGCTTGTAGAATATTTTTCCGATATAAAATAATAATCCGAAATATAATCATAAAATTAAATCATCTAGTCCCCTCGACAGTTATAAAATGATTTATCAATACGTTTTGGTCCCTAAAAGAATTTTAATTAAATTTTAGTTCATTATCTGTTTTCTGCTTTCGTCCCTGCCTTTGAAGAAATATTCAATCCACTTCAATCTTGTTTCAGCATCAAGTGCGTATCTTGGCCCTCACGTGATTGCTTAACACTGAAACCAGATTTGTCGAGGAGGAATTACTATAATGTTAAACCCGATTATGAGTTTTGAAGAGGGCAATAATGGAGTCTTGCTTTGCTTGTACTTTAAATTGAATTGTTTTACGAAATCTCTACAAAGCATAAGATATTACTTTAACCATCATATAAGTTCACAATGGTTGAACCAGTTCAAATACGCCAATTCTTGCCCGGTACAGTATGCCCGTCTCCCGTGGCGTAAAATGGCTCGGCACTTGTATGCGTCTTGTCCAAATGAAACTTCCAGGCAATAGTGAATTCCTTAATTGTTTCTCGAATGCCACTAGTTTAGTTCAGCTAGAAATCAAGTCGAGTCTTGGCATTAAACTATTCCACAACCTCTATCCCTCAGGGTTGCCACAAAGCATTAATCATAAATGATCAAGGACAACTTAACCGGTTACGAAAATACGCACCGTATCCGCAGGTATGCGAAACGCGGAACACTCGCTTCTCAACAGAAGCATCTTTAAATCAGCCCCTGCCGCTGCAAATCGGTATATGTCTTCTTGTTATAGATGTTACCCTCTTTATCTTCGTATTCCTCTTCAAGATCGGGCCGCCACTTGTTCACTCCTTGCCGTTCTCTTATCTTCTCCCACAGTTCTTGAGCTTCCTGCAAGTTTTGAATTTTATGCTTACAGGTTAATAGTCGGGCTAAGATAATAAATAGACCCTTTAACACTATACTTAGATAGACCTGTACATTTTATTATACCCAAACACTGGAAGTTTAATTCGTATGCAAATGAACCCTAATATTTAACTTGTACCCAGTAAACAAATAATCTCTTAACATTAGAATTCAAATAAGAACTTGTTCAAGTACAGACCAAAGATTTGTCAAATGCCAAAAGATTTGTCTGCTTAATAATAATAAAATAGCAGACACCAATGGAAATGGCACATTAAACTCAATCATGAAAAAACCACAGGTAGGCCGATGAAGCAGGAAGAAATATAAATTGTTATGCAATATCTGAAAAGAAAATATTGTATACCTCAATATTGGTGATTTCATTGAAGTTCTTGGTGTTAGGAATACCAAGGCATCGCATGCCATGCTGATGCCGCCATTCTTTGAAATGCCTCTCGAAAGCCCGTCGACCCCAGTAGCTATAGTTCCCACAAATCTCGCACTTAAATTCCTGAAGAATAAAAAGAAATAGGAAGAGCTGTATGAGATCCTGTTGACTTAGAGATAATGAAGAACTAAGCAATCAAAGAGCGAGGAAAGATACAAAAGCCCTTGTGCAACCACACCATATCCTCAATCTATCCAACACCCCTAGGTTCGATTTGTATTGAGCGAGCTCAATTAGGTTCGATTAGGCTCGTTTTATCTAAATAAAAATGATTCTCATATTTAATTTTAAGCTTCATTATTTATGCTCAAGCTTGAGTTCTCAATATTTTTTATAAATAGAAAACATCAACCATTTATTAGAATTAGTTGTAAAACATCAAGGAAAATATACCCATAGGCTATAGATTTAAGAAAACTAAAACAATAAAAGAGGTGTGTACTATATTCATTAGAGCGTTCATTGTTTCTTCTTTAGTAATCTCTAAGTTGGCAAAGTAGCTGTGCATGCAAAAGTTCAAGTAAAGAATTAGAAATTACCTGACCAAGGCCATGAAGTTTGTAAAGCCAGTAAGGTATAGGCTTTCCATCCCAACCCATTGGCAATTTAAGAGGATTATAGATCTGTTGATCTTCATCATCACTTTCAGTGTCCACTTGTGTCTCTTCCTATTAGAAAGCAACAAGTTCTTGTCAGACAATCACAGCAGACAGAATTTAAAGATACCAAAAATTTTAGAGAAAAAGTTGCTTCTTTTGTTCGCTATTTTTTTTAACAATACAGGAACTGACAAAAGGCACTAGTTAACCAAGACATTTGACCAAATGCTAGCGCCTTCTAATGATGTGAAAAAAGGTCCAACCAAAGATAATACACCCATTTAGTGAATTTTTTTTTTTATAGGAATACACCCATATAGTGAATAATCGAAGTCCATGGTAGAGGATGAGAAGCCCAAAATATTTAATCAGTTGATTCATTCAAAGATATCTCATCCCCTCTATTTGTTTCGCCTAAAATATAGTCATAGTAATCGAGTAAATTCTTAATTTCTACCATTTAAAATGGGCCCTTCGGATTTAAGTATAACACAGAATTTTGCTCAGTTACACCCTGAAGTGAGAGCTGCAGACCAGAAACAGGGTTGAAACCGAGTGGCTTGGTTCATACAAGCCCCCACATTCAAAACTCTATTACATGAATTATAATCATAACAATACGATATAAACAACAGAATTTTGCTCCATCATTAAAAACACTTGAATGACTGTACCAGGAGATTAACTTACCTCTTCACGTTCTTGTTCCATTTCCTCGTATGTCAAAGCTTGCTTCTTTACCACATTTTCTTTTGTTTGTTCGATTGTCTAAAAAAACCACAGAAATATAAGTTAAATATACCCACTATATTTACTATATCTGCAATACGTACAGCAGCAAAATGTACTTTTGCAAAGGCTTTCTCTCACATTTCATATATCAAAGTCAGTTCAGGGCAAAGTAAGCAACCAACTAACCTTAGTCAGTAAATCACAGAGTTTCTTCATCTTGGCTTCCATCAATGCAACATGTTTCAGACTGTTAATGTCCTGTGAAACTGCAGCGGATCCATTTTGTCGAGGTCCATGTGAGCCTTTTGCAAAATGTTTCTTGTCCAGCTTGTCCAAAGGTGTATGCTGCCAAGAAAATGTATAGGCATCGAATATATATTGTATGAATTTATTTGATATAACAGTACAACAGATAAAAACAGCTACCATTAAACCAGTCTATAATAGTTATCCCATCAACATTTCTCAACATAACAACCTAGTACTATATTATTTCATAGCTGTATCAGGCTTTGAGCCCTATAACCTATTTCCTTTCCACATGACTTCAAATAATATATTCCTAATTCCTTCGAGAAAATTCCAGCAAGAGTCTGGTATGCAGATTTCTCAAAAGCCATTTCAAATTTAAAAAGAAAGGTACAATCCCAGTTTCCATCCTAAATCTAATAACAATTAACAAAAGCACAACACTGAAAGAAAGAGAGAGAGAGAGAGAGAGAGAGAGAGAGAGAGAGCTAATTAGCTTAGGTTACTCAGATGCAAGTGATCAATTTATACAACGTTTTTGGAACTTGGAAGATCTTTGGAAGGTAATATCCCCAAATACATGGCTAGATAGGCACTAGACAAGGGTATTTAAAGAAAACTCAAAGGTTGGATCACATGTTAGTATGTTACCTTGGTGAGGAAAAGCCTCTCGGCGCGCTGCTGAACGGTACCACCAGTTTTTAGTCCTAATGCTGCCAATGCCTGTGAGGATAAATAGACAACATTCACTCATCATCAACTAAGAAGGAAGCCAAAATTGAGGTAATTAAATTTTAATTTTTAAGCTATTAGTTAAGTGTTTTAAATACATATCAAATGATTGCCTAAAAAACACAAACAATAATGCACCTGGGTTCTGGCAATGTGACAAAGTTCAACATGCAATCAAGATAAAACCCAAATCACAGTAATTAAAACAGAAGAAAAACTACTCCAAGGTTGCATTTCAGTCCCAAAATTTATGTAAAATGAGTTCCAAATCGAAACTTCCAAATTTATGCTTTCCAAACACTGCACAAATGAACACAATAAATCACAGCATAAGAATATATAGCCTTCTCCACAATCTTTTTCATTCTCAAATTAACTAATAAAATTGAAACCAACCAGTAAGATAAGATTTTTACAGTGACAAGATCAGAGAATGCATGGCAACACGTTTCTTCATATTTCACTATTTAATATGACTTGAACATGCATTTGCTTAAATAAAAATGGGGAAAAATACATTTCTAAGCACTGAAAAGTCGTTGTGACTACAACAAAAGCTAGCTAGTAAAGATGACATAATCAAAGACGACCGAAATTACCTCCTTTAACTTTTCTGGTCCCACTTCCATCAACTCTTCAACTGTGCTGTAATAATCTAGATCAATCACTGCATGATGCATAGGATCATCTTCATTTTCCGGACCTTGTTTCTCCCATCCTTGTACCTGGCCATTAGCCCACTGCTCCTCAAACTCAACCTCAACCTATCACAAACCATCATAAAAGTATTTTAATGTATCAGAACCATTGTACTTCCTAAAAGAAGTCTCATCTTATATTTATATAGCTCAACGCAGGAACTCCTCATTCATGGCAAGTTTTTCATTCTTTCTTTTTTTTTCACCTAAAAAAATATAGAACCCCATGTTACAAAATAGGGTTCAAGTTTAGCATGGCATGGCATATTCAAGGTTAAGGATCTCTTTTTGGAAAAAAGATATTCAGGTAACTTTCAAGTAAATAGTGTGAACCTTGGAAAAGATTCTGTCAAGATCTTGTAGTGGTTCAGTCCTCTGAAAGAAGTAAATTAGATACTCCAACAAATTCTCCATGTACTCCCTGTATTGCCTACAGATAACAATATTGGCCAACCCAGTATAAGAAGCACACTAAAGTGGTAGAAAAGCAGAAAGAAATTAAACTGTCGGCAAAACAACTTTTTAAGCAAGAACAAGAAACAGATTTGAGGAAAATTTACCTTGTTGACTTCAGTTTCCAAGGGATATTGTGTGGCTGTGAAAAGATATCCAGGTAAGCCGAGTATTCAATTTTGGCTCCAAATTTTGAATTAATGTACTGATTGAACAATTCATGCAGATCCAGATACCGACCAAAGGCTTCCTGAAAATGAATTGCTAACAAGTAAGAGCAGGACAGAAAGAAAAACATAAAATAAATGTAGGAAATTACTGCAACAATGTGTGCTTAATTATATGCAAATGTGGGGGGAGGGAGACCTCTCCGCTGAACTCAATGACTGGTTCCTCCTTAAGTAAAGCCTCATACTCTTCATTAGCATCGACGACACGTGCAGCGGGGTGCTTTCTATGGTACTCACGTATCTGCATTTAAGTAGCAATTACTTAACTAAACATCGATTATTTATTTATTTATTCCCTTTTTCTAAAAAAGTAATTGGAAAAAATATTCGGATTTTTTCATGCTTCCAAGAAAAACGCAGGTTTTGTGAAAAAAATCCAGGCAAGTATTTTCAATTCAGGGTTCAGAAAACAAAGCAAAAGGTTACCTCCTTCAATCTATCATAAAAAGCACTAAAGACATTAATTCCGGTAGCTGTTTGACCTCCGAGAGCCGCGATTTCATCTTTCCTAGAACTATCTTTATCTTCATATATCTCAACCTGAAGCCATTCAAAATATAAATACAAAAAAAGAAGAAGCTATAATTGTAACTCAAATTTGCATAAGGTGTAATTACCAGCTTCTCGGTGGTTGCGATGATTGTGTCGATATTATTGCGGACACGGTGGCTTTGATATAATCGGTCTTTGGAGGTAGGTGGATCATTTTGCAGGTCCTTCACGATGAGCCGCTCAAGACGTTCTACATCTTCGTGAGCAGCCCGATTCAGCTCGAGTAGAGTCGACGACATCACGGCTTTCGATTCGCTTAGCCGATTGAACAAGTCTAGGGTTTCTTTACCTCGGTCGATATTGCAGTAGCAGAGGCGGTGGTTCTATTTTGCACGATGGGCCAAAATTTCATTTCTCGCTTGTCGTTTTTTATTTACTTTTTTCTAGTTTATTCAAGACAACGGCGTCGTTTTACCATACATCGATTATATCAAGAAGATATTTATTTTAGATTATTATAAGAGTGTAAATTAATTGAGCTTCAACAAATAAGATTTTATTTGTTTGTTTATTTTTAAAAATGCTTATACTCGTTTAATTGTTTAATGTTTTTATGTTCGTTTATTTATTTTCGAATGTGTTCTTGTTTATTGGTTTAGCATTCGTGAAAAAGTTCGTTTAATGTTCGTTTATATATTCGCAAATAAGGATGGGCATGAGTTAAGTTTGAGACCAACTCGACATAAAATTATACACTCTCCTAGGGGTGGCAACGGGGCGGAGCGGGGATGGTTTTGTATTATCCATTTCGTCGACAATATTTGCAGGTACGGTTTTGGGGAATTACATTATATGTTTCAGAGATTTTTTTTGTCGTCGTATCCATCCCTTACGAATCCCTGCGGGTTTCGGTTAATCCTCATCCCCAAAAATTAAACAAACATTTTCGAAATCAATGCAACACCTAAAACTTGTAAGATATATCGTATTGTCTCAAATTAGTATTTATCTATAATATGAAAGTTTCAAACATCAATATTCATCTAATATCTAATGTATATATATAATCTTAACCATTTTTAATATCAGCAAATCAATGTATATTAAATGAGAAAAGATTTAAATTTCAATTTTAGTTCCTTTGAGATGTAACAGTGTCAACACGTAATCTTACATATATTTTTCGGAGATCTCATGGTTATTTTTGTAAAATATTGAGGATCCCTACAATTATTTTTCGGAGATCCCCACGTTTATTCACATGCATACAGTTAAGTTATCCCCACGGCTCGGATGTAGCAATCCTCTTTCCCATCCCCATTTGAGCTCCGGGGATAAAACTTCCTCCATCCCCATCCCATGGGTGAAGATTTCGATTACTCCCCATTTAGTCAGTTTGGATCCCCATTGTTTTCGGTTTTTCTCCACCTGATTGGCACCCTATACATTCTCCACCCAAAATCTAACCTAACCCACGTTTAGGGTGACTTCACCCTACTTGAGCTCAACCTTTCATTTTTAAATAAAACCCAAACTCGACTTAACCTCACTCGAAACAAATATATTTATAAAAAAAATAATATATATATAAGGGTATTATTATAATTGTCTTTAAATATATAAGGTAAAATTATATTATTTTTTGGGTAGTTCGAGTCGAATATTTTTACCTTAAATTCGACCCGACCTGACCTAAACATATCTTCTAAAAAAATCGACCTAATAGAGTCAGGTCTGATTTGGTCTTGTCTCAATTCCTATTCACAAATATATTCGTTTAATGCTCAGTCAAAGTGCATTTATTTGTTCGCGAACATATTAATTTAGTTTCACTAACATATTCACTTACAAACAAAAAACATGGTAAAACTATGCCACTAGTAGTTAAAATCATCAATATTCATAGTTTAAATCCTATATTTCATCATGTGTTTGATTTAATCCCTACATTCACCAATTTTTAAAATATACAAATGTAAAAAGTAAATGAATTTATTCATGATCATAAACATAGGAGTCGATAAACAAACTTATAACTAGTTTGTTAATGAACATAAACGAATCGAACATGTATTTGTTCGTGTTCGTTTGTTTATATAACAAACATAAAAAAATTGCACGAACCAAGCGATCTCAGTGGTGAAGGAATTGTTGTTATTCCTTGAGGTCTCGGGCAGAAACGGACTCAGGACAAAAATTCAGGGGTTGCAAGAGCCCCAGGGGTGGCACTTTGGAGGGGTGACACTTGTATTAGGGGTGACACTTGTGGAGGGGTTGCCTGGGATACCCCAGGCACCATGGAGGTCTGCCGCTGGTCTCGGGTTTGAGCGCCGGGAATGTTAGGGGTGTGAGTGTTCAATGTTAAATGGTTGAGAGTTATCTTTGAACAAATATTACCTTATACTTACCCCAAATAAATGAAAAAAGAAAAAAAAACTTAACAAGCGAACGATTCGCGAATAGTTTACCGAACGTTATGCTCATTTACGCTTCAATCTAGATAGACCAGATGGCTGCAGAAACGGGTAAAAAGAAAATTTATGTTAAGTTTTGCCCATGAATAAGAATTAAACCTTTAAATCAATTGTGTTGAATTAGGGGTTGGGACAAGCTGTGTCCGTTTGAAAAGGTTTTCTATCAATTTCTCAATGATTTTGAAAAACAATATTTGTAATTTTAGCAACAAATTGTCTATAGCTCAGTGGTAGAGCATATGACTGCAGGTCAAGAGGTCACCGGTTCGGCCTTTCTATTTTTCTATTTTAACTTATTTGATTTATATTATATTGGTTTACAATTTTTTACCATTTTACCATCTGAAATCTATATTCGATTGGTTTTTAACTTATACCATGGTACCATCTATGTAAATTTTTTTTGAATTTTTTTTTACCATGGTACCATTTTACCCTCTGGCCTTATCCTTTATCATAAAGTAACATTTATTGTTGAAACATTTTTTTTTCAAACAAGGTTTAAAATCATCTACTAGCATATAGAAGGCCGATAGGCCGGATGAATTGGAGAGAGTTGAACCCGCTGGCGGAAGTAGGGATGGGCACGGGACGGGCCGGGAGGGCCGGGTTGGGTTTTTGACCGCTTCAACCCGATTTAAAATTGTATTATTTAAACCCGACCCGTCTCGCCTTAATAAATTCTTGCCCGATTTCTAAATTAAAAAATCGAGTTTGACCCAACCGAATTCGAATATATTAATATTTTAAAATAATATATTTATAATTATTTATTATATTTTAAATTATTAAAATAATATATTGTTTTATATTTTTAATAATTAAATAATATATTTTAATAATATAAAAAAATTAAAATCTTAAATATATTATATAAATATAAAGAAAATTTATAATTTAAATCAATCAGGTAGGGTTTTTTTTCATCTTAAACCTAATCTGAACTTGTCTCGCCCCACCTCGGACTCATTTTTTTTTTTACTATCCCTAGTCTGAAGGGTCATAATCTGGAATGGACTTCGCCATTGCTCGGGATTAGCACTGACAACATTAGTGTCATTGTCGTTCACTTCACAAACTAAAGCTTTTAAAATTATTTTAATGCAACTAGGCTGTAAATATAACAATCCCTATATTCTTTTCCTTTTATAAATGAAATAACGTATTATTAAAAGTCTTTCTATTTTTGTTACTTTTAATTTAGGCCTCGAAAATCGTTTTAATACTTAAAAAATTCGTTAAAAATAAGTGTTTAATATTTCCAACGTTATACTTTTAGGTGTCCAGACGTTAACCACCGTTAAATATCTCTGTTAAGTGATGCAGTATTTTATATAATTTTATTTTTAATTGATTTTTATTTATTCATATAAAATAAATTAAACATAAATGATGATGTGACGTGTTCTGATTGGTCTATAAATTTTTTTTAACAGTATTAATGATTTAGGGTAAATGGGGTAATAATTTACAGTTGAGGGGGAAAAACATCCCCCAAATTACTTTATGGGACAACTAGATAAAAATGGAATAATTAAGGAGACAAAGGAATATTTAAGCATTTTACAAAAGAAAAAAAATCACAACATAAACTACGTTAAAATATTAACCGTTTAATGACTAAAAAAATAATTACAAAACTTTAGTACTATAAGTTTAACTTTTATAGCTCAATGATTAAAACAAAAATATGGTCAAAGTTTAATATTTAAAAATGTATGTTACCCTTTAAAAACAACAATCACAAAATTAAACATAATAAAGTGACTAAAATGAGATTTCGACCTTTAATATTTATATCAGATAAGGATTTAATTGAGATAATATGTAAATAATAAGGACCAAATGAGTGATTATATTAAAATATTCAACTGCTGTTAACGACAGTTAACTCAGAGTGATCACATCTTAATTAAATAAAAAGCGAAAGTGATCATATATTATGTTTTTTTGAAATCAGTGGCCAAAAGTGGACAAAACATAAACATAAGTAATCATCTGTGTAATTAACCCTTCTTAATCATACTATGAGTTCACTTATTGGAATAAATTTTTTAAAAAAATGTAGTTTTAATGTTCAAATGATCCCCAATTTAGTGGGGAATTATAAGAAACGACATAGTAATTTAAGGCTAGAAAAAGGCACTACTAAAAATATAATTTTTTTTAACAAAACATGTTTAGCGCTATTGGAAATGTTAAATTATATGTAATATATTAAGTTGCAACTATTTTAAAATAACTTAAACTAGTGTAATCAGTTAAAACAAAACACAAAATGTTATAAAACAGAACCAGAAAAATTATCAATCGTAGCAACATAACATGTGTTCACCTAAAATGTTATAAATAGTAAGGAAATAAGTTATAAACGGTAAATGTTAAGATATTATTAACGTTTTAGGTTGCACCTAAAATGTTATCAGAGCTTAAGCTAATAGAGTTTTAGATTTTTCACGATAACAAAATAAGTTAAAATTTAAAAATGTTATGAATATATATAATAAATACGATTGTACCCAACAATATCATTGTTCACTAAGAAAAAAATCGCGATCTGAAATGTTAATCTTTTTATTAATAAAATAGGTTGCGTAAAAAAATGTCATGGTTCACTAAAAAATATAGATACAAAATGTTAATATTTTCATTAATGAAATGGATTGCACCCAAGAATGTTATTGTTCACTAAGAAATAAGTTGTAATTAAAAATGTTAATATTTTTATTAATTAAAAAAAATAAAAAAATGATATTTTTACTTTCGAATTTAAAAGTATGGATACTTTTGAAAAGTATCGATACTTTGTAATGTTCTCATTTTCCAAAGTATCGATACTTTTCCAAAAGTATAAATCGATATTTTCCCAAAAGTATTCATACTTTCTAATATTTTAAAAAAGAAAAGAAAAATGAAAACGTTGCAAAGTATCAATATTTTTTCAAAAGTATCCATACTATTTAAAATTGTCAATATCGAATTTAAAATTTTGAATTATTTTTTGGCGTAACCTATTTTATTAATAAAAATATTAACATAACATATCACAACATATTTATATTCAAAATCATGACATTATTGAGCGCAACCTATTTTATTAATAAAAATATTAACATAACATATCACAACCTATTTCTATTCAAAATTATGACATTATTGGGCGCAACCTATTTTTATTAAAAAAATTAACATTCTAGATCGCAATCTTTTTCTTAGTAAACAGTGATATTTCTTGACGCAACCGTTTTTCTTATATATATTTATAATATTTTAAGTTTTTAACTTATTTTGTTACCGTGAGAAAATCTAAGACTACATTAGCTTAAACTCTAGCAATATCTTAGGCGCAACCGATTTTATTACTAAGAAAATTAACATTTAAGAACGCAACCTACTTCTTTGTGAACCATAACATGTTTAGGCACAACTTAAAATGTTAATAATATTAATAACATTTACCGTTTATAACTTATTTTTGTTATTGTTAGAATGTCTAAGGCATCATCAGCTTAAACTCTTGTAATATTTTAGGCACAACATAAAATGTTATAATATTCATAATATTTACCGTTTATAACTTATTTTATCACCGTTAATAGCATTTGGTGCAACATGTTATGTTGCTACGATTGATAAAATTCTAGGTGCCGTTTTTAACGTGTTACCTTTTTTAACAGATCACGTTGTTTATTAACCTTATTTTAGATACCGCACAACAAAATTCCCTCAATTTTGTTAAAACCATAAATCTGAGTTTAGTCCAACGGTAACAGTCAACAAAAATTTAAAAAATCAAAGTTTCACCTGTTTGACCCGATCTTCAATCTCAGTAAGAGATTCAAAGTAGAGGAAAATCGACGATCGTTGTCATTTGAACCGAAGCGGTTTACCGAAACCAGGAGGAAATTAAGACTAATTACGAAGCTGCTGTTCGAATGAATTACGAAACGTGGAGTTTGGGCGTTCGGACTAGTTTTAATTGCCTATCGCATTACATTCTTCTTGATTTACTTTGATTTCAATTTGAGTCATCCATAGCGAAATGGATCATCATTGCTTGAATCCATTTTGTCAAATTATTTAAAATTTTGAATATATATATTGTTATGAATTTAATTATGATTTAAATTAAAAATTTTAGTGTTCTTGTTTTTAAAAGAATATTTATGATAAATTTATTATTACGAGTAGATTAAATTTATAGAGCTCAAAGTTTTCTCTCTCGATGAAACATACATTGAACAAGTGCTCAGAAGGAAAAAAGAAGTGAACTAAAAGAAACTAAGATTCAATGTTCGTTTTTAATGATATTTAATTAAAAAAATTTAACATTTAAATTGATATTTTATTTAAAATTTAATGATAAAATTAATATTTTATCTAAAATTCGTGAATCACATTAAAATTTATTTTTCTATTAATGTTTAGTAATTAGGGATGGCTATGGGGCGGGTTTTCGATCAAGCAGACCCGACCCAAAATTTATACACCCTCTATCCGACCCGAACCCGATCGAAAAATTAAACACCCTTTATCCGACTTGAACCCGATCCACCCTTTTGAGGTAAAATCCTAATTCGATCAGACCCGACCAGAAATAATATTTTTATAAAAAAACATCACTTTTATTTAATAAAAAATAGGGATTTAATCAAAAAAATATATAAGGGTCTTATTGTAATTATCTCTAAATATAAGGTAGAATTATTTTTTTTCGGGTCGTTCGGATACTTTTTACTCTAAACTCGAATTCAACCTAGCCTAAACCTAGAGCTGGGTATATGGGCTAAGGCCCGTAGGCTACCCGTTTAACCTGCGACCCGTGAGGGCTTCATGCCTCGAAAATTGAAGATCGTTTAAATTGCGGGCTTTTTAGCCCGGACCGTTAAATCCGCGGGTTTAATGGGTATAACCGCGGGCTACCCGCGAAACCCGCTTAATTTAAAATTTATAAAATTTTAGAGAAAATAAACTTAAATAATTTTATAGAAAAAGAAAATAAATTATCTATAAATATGATGTTACTTATAACTATTGTAGTTCTTAAATTTATTAGGGCGTTTGTCATAATTCTACCGCTGCTTGATATTTTTTTTTCATTTAAATATACATCATTAATGTATCAAATTATTCTTTATTTTAAAAAAATAAAAATTAAAAAATTTATATAGTATTTTAGTCTTATTATAGCCTTGAATAATAATGTTTTATAAAAGTATAATGTGGTTATTGTTTTACTTGTTTTTCAATTTGGTGATATAAGTGAATATTATTTTTTTAATTTGAGTTTAAGTAATTATATCATTATATATATATATATTAATGATTAAAAAAATTAAAAAATATTATATTATAATCATTTCCGGCTATTTAAAATAAAATTTAAATATTATTTATTATTTTGACGGTGCTACCTTCATTTCAAGTTGCTCGAACATTTTTAAAGGTGTAGTAAGTTAAAACATTATTTTTATTGCATTTAAAACATTTAAAATTATTTTTATTAAACAGGCCGCGGGTAAGTCCGTGGGTTAAATGGATGGGACGTTGGCCTTAAAATTCAAAACCGTTTATGAATGCGGGCTTTTTAAACTACTCTGTTTAAGCCCGTCCCGTCAAAACCTGCGGGCTAAACGGGCAGTAGCCCGTATACCAACCTCTACCTGAACCCAATTTTTAAAAAAATCCAACCTATTAGCATAAGATCAAGTTGGAATTTACAGGTTTGAGTCTCATGCCCATCCCTACTAGACTACTAGTAACTAAAACATTATAAATCAATGCCATAAATGATCATAATATTATTTTTTAAAAACAATGACTAAAAGTATAAAAAATAAAATGAAAGTGACTATTTTAATAATTTACTCTTAAAAGATTATTGTGTTAAGGTTAACAAGCAAAATTAAATTTATTTATTGGTAAACTATATGTTTAGTACCTAAAATATCACTTTTATTCTGTTTTAGTACCTAAACTTTCAGATTTTTCAAAATCATACCTAACATTGACTTTTTGTTTTATTTTAATACCAGGTGTTTACTTTTCATTTTATTTTATTACCCATTTTTAACTTTTTATTTTATTTTAGTACCTAAATTTTTAATTGCGGGGTAATAAAATGAAACAAAAAGTAAACTTTTGGTATGATTTTTAAAACATTGAAAGTTTAGATACTTAAACGGAATAAAAGTGATAGTTTAGGTGATAAACATGTAGTTTACCCTTTATTTATTTATTTATTTTCAATTTTTTGGGGCCCAACCAGAACGTCAACTAAGAAAACAAAAGAACGCCCGAAAAAAATGTGTCATTTTGCGCTGTGATTGATGTTCGTCTCAGATTCAAACTTCTCTTGGCATGCTTTCTTTAGAGAGGTATATTTTCTATTTTACACCTTCAATTTCTACAAATTTTTAGCTGGTTGTGATTATTGTTTACAGTTCCTTGAAAGTTCGTGGAATCTAGGGTTTTCAAACTGCTACCGGGTGATAGAATTTTATAATGTTAATTTGATCGTTGTAAAGCTTGTTAGAACATCTTTTAGCTTTAGATCCATGGAGACGGGAGACATGGGAAGTTCGATTTACTCTTCAGTGTCCTAGTTGTTTCCGTTACAGTTAGGTTCCAAGTTTTGGTTATTCAATGCGACTTAATTTTATTCTCTCTTTTGGTTTATTTTATTTTATCTATTTCATTGATTACGAGTGAAGGCTAAGAAACGCCGAGGAAAGTAGAAAATTATGTTTTGAAGTTAATTCATTTAATTGTTTGTCGTGACTTTTTGGAGTTCTTTTGAATTGTTCCTTTTTATCTTGGGGGAAAAATAATGTTTTGAGGGTTTAGGTTGTTGCATAAAGTGGAAAAGGAATGAACCTGTTGACATGCTTAAGATTGAGGAATTGGGTTTGTTGTCTTGGAGGAAATGGTGTTAAGTAAGCTTCATAGTACCTGAGGCGTGGTATTAAATTCTTGCACATGTTATTGTTTCTGGTAACAAGTTGGTGAACTTGTGATCTCATCATACATTAAAGTGTTGCTTTTCGCGTATTTACGGGTCATATTGTTGTTATGTTTGCGCTTTTCTACTTTTGAAATGTTAGTCGTTCTTGGTGAGGGGTAGGCTGCATTAGAATTATGAAGGAAAATTGTTGATGTTCTTTGTGTTGATTCATTACCAAACTGTTGATCCAGCCTGCAAAGCGGAACGATATCATCTATAACAACTGTTGTCTAGATAGCAAAAACTACCATGCTTGATTGATGCTATGATTATATGGGGAGAGCCATGTAAAGTTATAACTTGTTGGACTTTGTAATCAAAAGAAATAGGGATGACAAACAAGTAAGATAGAAGTTGGAAAATGTAGGGTTTAAAAGGCTTTAGTTTCTGAAGCCTATTAATTAAGGGAAAAAATGTGGCTGCAAATCTATTTTGCAGCTTATTTATGCTAGGGTTACAAAAAAATATTTAATAATAGCCCTAGATTGAAACCCTAAAGACAATGTATAATCCTTGCCATCTATCTATGTCTAAAAAATGAAACACTAAAATGATATAAATAGCTCCTGCATGAATGTGGCATGTGCCTACCATGGTTAATATTGAATGTAATATCTTAAGAAAGCCAGCTTACCCGTTGCAGCAGGTGTTAGCCATAGTTGTATATTTCTCCATATACAAGTCATTATGGCATCTATGACTATATTCGAGATAACCACATTCAACATCCTCCGTCTTTTCTTTTGCTTATAAGTACCCAATTTGTCAAGTTGGTTAAGTTCCTAGTCACATTTCCTTCTGAAAAAGATAACTCCGTTAACCGACAGAAAACTTTATCTTTCTCTAATGCTTACAGCCTTGAGAGAGAACCAATTAGTAAATTGCGATGGTGCATTTTCTTGGGAGGATAGTCTTATAAGTTATATCATTAATTATTCCAGCTCATTTTGCATTGTGAAATTATACATCACCGTTTGAGATAAAAGTGGAATCTGTTTGAGCTTTTTAAGAAATGCTGGTTATGGATTTATTATTTTTTGAGAAAGTATTATGCTAGTAATGTGTACTTAGATATGTGTTTGTTGTGATATTGAAATTTTGTAAGAATTTGAACTAATGCTTCTACTTAAATAATGCCGAAACTTGTTTCTTCTTAAGATTTGATTATAATGTCAATCTGTGTTTAAGAATATCGATTTCTCTAGAAAGTGACCGAAACTTGAGTGTCGATAAAGATTTTGTTTGTTTTGAAAAGGTATAAGGCTATATCCTAATATAATAATACCACATTGGTAATGCATTTATTTCTCAATAATGTAAATTTTTATTTAGTAAACTTTCTTCCTTTGGATCAGGCATCACTTACTTGGAGCTGTGACCTCTGTCTTAAGGCATGAAAGAACTTTAAGCTGCGAATTGTGGTTTTTCGTTGTAGCCGTACTATATTCATAATACCTAGGTGCTATATTAAAGTCGGTCTGAAATCATGGAGTGCAACAAAGACGAGGCAATTAGGGCAAAAGAAATTGCTGAAAGGAAAGTAAAGGAGAAGGATTATGCTGGAGCTAAAAAATTTGCTTTGAAGTCTCAAAACTTGTTTCCTGACCTTGATGGTATTGCCCAGATGTTGACAACTCTAGATGTGTATATTTCTGCTGAGAATAAAGTAGGTGGGGAAGCTGATTGGTATGGTGTTCTTGGCGTAAGCCCATCGGCTGATGATGATATGGTGAGAAAACAATACAGGAAGCTGGCTCTGATGCTTCATCCTGATAAAAACAAGTTTGTGGGTGCAGATGGTGCTTTTAAGATTGTTTCAGAGGCTTGGAGCTTGTTATCAGATCAGGCTAAGAGGTTGGCTTATAACCAGAGGATAAATTCCAGGGGAACCCAACATAAGTTTTATTCACAGAGTGGAGTTTCATCAATGCCACCCAGAACAAATGGCTCTCATAGTTCTAGTTCTAATGTAGCATCAAATGCTAGGACTCAGAACAACAATAGCCGGGTAGGCCAAAACTCATTTCCTCCTAATAAAAAGCCTGCTACCTTTTGGACTGTTTGCAATAGATGCAAGACACAGTATGAATACCTCAGGGTGTACTTGAATCAGACACTTCTTTGCCCTACTTGTCAAGTGGCCTTCTTGGCTTTAGAAAAGGTGCCTCCAAATGTTTACCAGTCATCAAATCGGTGTAACCAACAACAGCAGGCTTCTGGGCATCATGGTGTAAATAATAATCAATTTAACCATGGAACAAATTATTCTAGATCTCAAAGTGATGGATTGGCTCAAGAGAAATTGAGAAGGGAACGTGAAGAAGCTCTTAAAGCGGAGAGACTCGTGAAAAAGAGAAAAGATGACAATTATGTTAATGGTTGTGCAGGTAATATGGCAACTCAAATGCCCATGGGAAATGGACCTGGCTTGGGAAACACATCTGAATCTAGGAATCTTTTTGGAATGGGAGGCACCTATGGATATTCTGGTAACTATAACAAGTACATTAGTGAGAGAGAGTTGTCACCGCTTGTAATTCGTAACATGCTGATGGATAAGGCTCTGGGTGTGATTCGTGAAAAGCTTAAGGCCTGGAGCTCTGTAACTGAAACCAAAAATGGTGACAAAGTTAAAGGGAAGGTCAGAGAGAAAGAAAATAAGAAACAGAGGAGCATGGCAAATGGAGATGGATGTGATACCAATAAAGTTCATCAAGGCAAGCAGCCACTGCCTACCTCTACTACTGACGAATCTGATAGAGGGACTATGCCATTGTCTATAAATGTTCCAGATCCTGATTTTCATAATTTCGACTTTGATCGAAGTGAAAGTTCTTTTGAAGATGACCAAGTCTGGGCTGCTTATGATGCTGATGATGGCATGCCCCGTTTCTACGCTCGAGTTCACAAGGTGATATCCTTGAAGCCTTTTAAGATGAAAATCAGTTGGCTTAATTCAAGGAGCAACAGTGAATTTGGTGAGCTGGACTGGATTGGCTCTGGTTTCTCCAAAACCTGTGGGGAGTTCAGACGTGGCAGACATGAAATTAGTGAAACCTTAAATTCTTTCTCCCACAAGGTTCAGTACACAAAAGGTGCACGCGGAGTAATTAGAATATATCCAATGAAAGGGGATGTCTGGGCTCTTTACAGGAACTGGTCTCCTGATTGGAATGAACATACACCAGATGATGTGCGACACAAATATGACATGGTGGAAGTGCTTGATGATTATAACGAGGAGCAAGGAGTCTCTGTGGTCCCTTTGACTAAAGTTTCCAGTTTTAGAACAGTTTTCCAGAAGCATATGGACCCGATGGAAGTGAGGAGGATTCCAAAAGAAGAGATGTTCCGCTTTTCCCATCAGGTGCCTAATTACTTGCTAACAGGCCAAGAAGTAGCTGTGAATGCACCAACAGGTTGTCAAGATTTGGACCCTGCAGCCACCCCTTTGGATTTACTTCAGGTAATTGTCGAATCCGATAAAGCACCCATGGAGGATGTTTCATTGAAAACTGAAGAAGAGACGTTAAAGAGTTGCAAAGCCCAAGAAGAAGTTAGTCTGTAGAGTGTAGCAAACAAGCTGAGGATGATTTATTAACTGGTGGTGCCTGCCAAAAGAGCCGTAGGATGCTGAAAAAGGCTAAAAATATAGAATTTGAAGACTGCTAACTACACCAGGTTAGCGAGTTTTTGATATTTTAAGTTTGATCCAAACTTAGGAATTGCAATTTTTTTGTTGTTGTCCCATAGTTGGATCCGTTTGCATTCCATTTTTCCCCTCATCTTTTGATTACTAAAGCCTCATTTAAAAGCTAATGCTTGGACTGTACTTGAAATTTAATAGAAATTGCTTCTTGAACTGTATTCCTGATAACTTGCCCTTGTTGAGTCATAGTACCTGTTTGTGGGCTTAAAGTTAATTTCAGTTTGGGATTGGTTGTGTCATGGATCAATAGTTCCAATCCTGTTTAGGGTAAATTTTTAACGGTGGGTCATCAAAATTAAACTTAAATAAAATGTTAGGCATAATTTTGAAATTGAAACTTAAACCAAATGATAGACATAATTTTGAAAAAAATGTGGCTGATCGAAACGAAGGGAAGTGATAGTTAAGTGACTAAATATTCATTGTAGGACTGCATTGCTGCCAGTAACCTGAAAAAAAAGAGACAGTAGCTACAGCCAGTCCGTGAACAGCTAACCATCTGTTGGACTGAACCAAAGAGGCTTCCTAGACAAATGTGATTTAATCTTTACGCAGGTAGATCCCTCACTAAGCACAACCAAAACTCGAACCATTCTCTGCACCATGAGCAGTAAGCCGCTTCGCTCTGCTGCTCATGTTTTGATTCAAGAATTTTAAGTTAGAACGAGTCGGAACTCAAACTCAGAAATTATGATTTTTTCCTTAAAAATATCCCTATGCTGATTTTTTTCATTTTTATGTTTGAAATGATGGTTCTAAGAAAAGATTTGCATCAACATTTTAGCCTGCTTAGTTAATGATATTAATTATTTAACTAATTATATATATATTTTTATAATAGTCGGAGGTCTCGTTAAAAACCCCTTCATACTTTTCAACACACAACGACCTATACACATAATTAGAGGGAGGAGGAGAAGAGAACCTCAGAAATATTATTAAACAAGAAAAAAGCAGTACAACTACAACAAAAAGACCAAAATTACATCATGAGTGGGGGAAATAAAACAGGAGAAATAAAACCAGGCTACTCTATAAGCAAGACCAGCCGAACCCCAAAACAAAACGGCACCCCATCACTCGTCCCTTGCTTTGCTAATCCATCTGCCTTAAAGTTGGCACACCGGCGAACATGGCAAAAAATGACCGCCCGGTCCTTTGAAACTACCTCAATGTCACAAACAAGATGAACAAAGGGACCGGGGCTTAAAGCAGGATCAACAACCCAATCAAGAGCATTCTTGCAATCACATTACATAATTAATCTGTATTTATTGCTCAGATCCAAATCAAAGCATAAGATCATATCTAATTGTTAAAAGTTCGACCAACACAAGGGCTGATAGCTTAGGAGAAAGACCCTAGGCAGTTCCCATCCGAGTTGCGAAGAATACCCCCAATTCCCTAGCGCCCCAGTCAGAGGAGAAGGAGACCAAGACACATTATTAGGGCTCGAAGAGCCTCTAGAGGAAAATGTATCCGCCAAAGAGGGATCGCACACAAGACTGTCCATCGAAGCTAAAGCAGATGGAACTTTAGCTTTGAACCAAGCTGCGAGCCGAAATTTTTGCAAGAAAGAAAAGTTGGGAATGATCCAGTGAGCAGTTTCTAAACACTATCATTCCTACATTTCCAAATTGACCAAATGGCAATATAAGGAATAAACTTCCAAATCGACTCCGACGAAAGGACTGGGGCAACATCAAACCAAGAAGCTAAAAAAAAAAGAACATCACCTGGGGGAACCGAAGAAATATTCCAGAACAGTAGCGATTCCATAAATCCCAAGAAACCTTGCAATCAATAAAACGATGATAAATTGTTTCGGGTTCAGACCTGCACAAGAGGCAATGATGGTCCCCATAAACATCAACTCCTTTTAACAGTTCGGCTTTGACAGCAATCCTCAACTGGACCACTTGCCAAATTAATATCTCCACCCTAGGTGGAGCCAAACCGAACCATAAAAGCTTGCTCCAACACGGGGGACTAGTGATCAGCATTGAATACAAAGACCCAAACGATTTGACAGAGTGCGTGCCTTCTCCATTTCATGTCCATAAGATAAGAGCCAATCATTTTCCGATTCACTAAGTCTGAAACCACCCAGCAAAGGAATAAGATCCTCCCATTGCGAAACCTCTAAATCAAATAGCTTTCTGCGTAAAGGAATCTCCCATACCCAGCCCGACTCACTTTTAGAGCCAAAATCTGATATTTTGCCATTTTCATCGCTAGATAAGGCAAAAAAAAAAAAATCCTTGGAAATTTAATTTTCAAAGGAACATCGCTCAGTCAATGATCGAACCAAAATAAAAGTGATTCTCCATTGCCCTCCTGGACACGGAGATGGTCTCTAAGGCAGCGTTCGACTTCATCTTCCTTATAGAACGAGTTGATTATGTCTCTCCATAGCCAGGAGACGCAAACGGGCTTCGAATTGTTGGGTAAGATAGCCTCCATCCCATCACAGAAATGGGAATGCAAAATGCGAGATAGCTTCCAAAAGTAACTGTTCTTTGAACAAAGTCTCGGTACACTGGGGAAGTGAAAATCCGGATCACATTTTACGTGGCAACGGGGTGATTTGTACCAACGTTTGGACCGTTGTTTATGTAACCCTGCTTGGTTCGAAACTTCCGAGTCTTCGGAGGTTATTCATCTCCAAAGAATAGGCTCGGATCACAGACCAATAATGCTTAGAACGGATGTGAAGAGGGAACGAAAGAATAGCCGTCCTTTTCGCTTCTTGGAAGCTTGGAACGATCACCCAAATTCTGAGGAATTTCTAGATGGCTCATGGAACAAAAATATCTGTGTTCGATAATCTGTTGAATTTGCAAGAGAAGTGTCGTTCTTGGAACAAGGAAGTTTTCGGACACATTGGTATGAGGAAATCTCTTCTTCTTGCCCGAATCCGAGGTGTTGAATTAGCTCTCGAAAAGAAAGAATCAGCATTTTTATGGGATTTGGAGGACTCGCTAAAGAAAGATCTTGATTTAGTGCTTGATCAAGAGGAAAAGCTTTGGTATCAAAAATTGAGGAATCAATGGATTAGCAATGGGCATCGAAACACTCGATATTTCCACGCAATTTCTATGCTTCAAATCGAAGATGGTGCATGGTGTGATGATCGTGACGAACTTAGGAGTCATGTTGTCCAGTTCTTTAAGAAGTTGTTTACTTCCAAAGCTCGCTGGATTTGTTCGAATGAATTCACGGTTGGATTCCAGCAAATGGGAGAGGAGAGGTTTACACCAAATTTGCAGCAATATTGCCGCGATTAAACCGCCTACGGTTAGTCTTGGTGATGACGTACCAAGATGGAAATGGGAGGCCATCCAGAAATTTTCAGTTAAATCGGCGTATAGGTTTATGGATAGCTCTGTCGGTGATAATAATGGCGACCATTGGAGCTTTATTTGGCGCCTCAAATGTAAACAGAGGTTGTAAGTTTTTCTTTGGGTGGCTTTACAAGGTAAATTGCTAACAAATCAAGAAAGGGCCAGACGACATATTGTGTCGGAAACAAGGTGTGAGCTTTGCAATCATGGTGAGGAGGACATATCCCATGTGCTTCGACAATGCCCGTTTGCTGCAAATATTTGGAGGGTGTTAATCCAAGCCGATAAGCTGAGAGAATTCATGAACATTCCTGTACAAGAGTGGTTCATCAGTAATATTCATGGAATAGGTAATTTTTCTTTTAATGATAGCCATTGGAGCCTGCTTTTTATCATTGTTTGCTGGAAGTTATGGAAGCGTAGATGTAGCATATTGCTGGACAGTGCCTATGTGGAACAAACCGATTTTCTCGCTGAGTGCTTTAGATTCAAGGAGAGTATTGCTTCAACGTTGATAGAAGACCCAAGGAAAAACGTTGGGAACAAGTTGAGTAATCGGTGGAAAAAACCTGCTGAAAATTGGGTTAAAGCCAATGCCGATGGAGCAATGGGAGGGGAGTTGGGTATGGCTGCCGCTGGAGGGGTGCTGCGCGATCACCATGGTAATTGGATTCGGGGTTTCTGAGGAGTATTGGGGTATTATTCAGTGTTCTGAAAGCTGAGTTATGGGTTCTTCATGACACCTTAGTGATGGCGTGGAGCATGGGATTTCGGAAAGTGGAAGTGGAGTCCGATTGCATGAAGGCAGTGCATTTAATCAACAATCGAAGTACCAAAAAAGATGGATGCACTATTTTCAAGCTGATTAAGGATTTGCTAGCGAGAGATTGGGAGATTCCAGTGAGTTACTCCCATCGGGAAACCAACATGGTTGCGGACAAGCTTGCGACAATGGCTAGAGGTCGAGCAATTGAAACAGAATTTTATGACGATCCTCCTACAAAAGTGTTAGACTTAGTTGGGCAAGAAAGCAGCCTCACTTACTAAGCTGTTGTTTCAGTATTACCAAAAAAATATTGGTTTTAGTAAAAATAATTTTTTTGAATTAATCGCTGATATCCGATCTATTGACCGACTAATTCAGATCGGGTACTGTAAAAGCGAGGACAGCCATTCCAACCCAGTTTGCTTCATTCGCAAACTCCAGGATTCGAACCCCTGAACTTGCTTAAGAGACCTAGTGTCTCATCCCACTAGATCAACTGGGGATTAAAATTTAAACCTAAAACAATATCAATCCGACAAAATTAAAATTTAAAAAACAATAACTTGAACCCAAAATTACCTAAACTTAAATCAAGTCCTACCTGAATCCATCTAAATGCAACCTATAGATAAGATTATAAACGGGGACATGTAATATTTTATATTAGAAGAAGCGAATTTGTAAAATTTTAGATAGAAATGTATTTATAAAATTTTAACGGTAAAAACAAATTATCAATAAAAATACACATAAAAATATAAAATATAGGGCCCTTAAGATGATTAGATCAACCAAATGAATTGTTTTTATTAATTTTGTGTCAAATGTCGTGGGAACAAGCTGCTCCATAATCACTTCATCATATACTAAGATCAATCTGTAAAATATCTCATGGGGCCATGTATGTGTATGAATATCCAGACATCATGCTTTATTTATTTATTTATTAATACATATATCATGATTTATTACTTTTCCTATTTCTGATAAAAAAAATTCTAATCCTTTTAAAATGTTTTCAAGATTTTTACAAAGGGAATAAAATAAGAAAGTTGGAATGCTAGGTTATAAACCTATTGTATTGGCTTTGCTTCACAATTGACTTTGAAAATATTTAGAAAAAGAACCCTCATACGTGATCAGGAGGAGAGTCGAGATCAAATATTAGGAAGGATAAGATACTCGATTTCGAAATAATAACAACTTATTATGTATTTAATTTAAAAATTTAGAAAGGACAGAAGTCCTTTATTTAAATTTAAACTGATAAAAACCTAAAACGCTATTAAATCAAATTTTTTTTGGAGGGGCTCTTTATATGGCTGTGTTGCTGCACGTAATGGGTATCTCGAGTATCATTTTTAGTTTTAAAAAAATAAGTGTATTTAAATTATTGTTATTATTTCATGCACCGATAATGAACAATAATGTTTGACATACTTAATAAAAAAAATTAATATTTCGCACACATATTTATTTGAATCCTAATCTCTAAAACTTGTAGTTGTAAATTATACTAAAATTTAATATCATTGAAATCAATAATATATACTAAAATACCTAATTGAACAGGAAAAAAAATACCAAATTGAACCTTAAAATTGCATATTAAAGTTAAGTTTATATACTAAAATATATATCAAACCAAAAATTTAATATCATTGAAATCAATAATATATACTAAAATATATATCAAAAATTTATGTTTTAAATTGCATATTAAAGTTAAGTTTATATACTAAAATATATATCAAACCAAAAATTTAATATCATTGAAATCAATAATATATACTAAAATACCTAATTGAACAGGAAAAAAAATACCAAATTGAACCTTAAAATATCTAAATATATATCAAACATAAATTTGTTTTATCCAATTAGGCATCTAAACTTGATTATAACGTTTAATTTTCTATCTATTTTTTGGGTTCAATTATATACATGAATTTGAATTAGTATTAGAAGCTACTTTTTTTTGTCTATATTAGTACTTAAGATAAGCGATTTTATTTAAACAATATTAAACCATAAAGCCAAATTTAGATATCAATTTAAATTGAAATGTCAAATTCAGATACCTAATTGAACAGGAAAAAAAATACCAAATTGAACCTTAAAACTAAGTTTAAATGCCTGATTAGACATAAAACTTTATGTACCAAATTATGCCTTGAAATAAAGTTCAAATACCAAAATATTTATTTACCCTAATTTTCCATCCATTAAAATAAATTTACTAATGGAAAAAGGGTAATTTTTGTCCTTATAGTAGACCTAATTTATCACTTTCGCACCTATCGTATTTTCGCATAAATTTAGCCCTCGAAGTTCTCAATTGCATCATTATATACTCTACTCCTAACTTAAAACCTCAAATTATAAACTTTAAACCCTAAATCACAACCATATCACCTCCAAACCCTAAACTCTAAATACTAATTTATGATTTACAATTTAGGGTTTTAAGTTAGAGTAAGAATATAGAATGATACAATTAAACAACTTTGAGGGTTAAATTGATACGAAAATACGATAGAGGTGAAATTGATAAATTGGATCTACTACATGGATAAAGATGACCCTTAAACCTTTACTAATTATAAAAAGAAAAGTAATGAAATTTCATCACTTATATAAAAAGGTAAAATATTTAAAACGTGGCTATTTTCATTAAAAAAATAACAAAAGAGAGTATTGTTACTGAAACTATTGGAGAAGAATCGCTGGTAACTGTAACTAGGCATGGTTCAGTGTTTGCTCAAAGAGCATGAAAATAAAGAACGGTCTTTATGGGTAAAGCCTACTCTTTCTCAGGGACCCAATGTTAAAGTTTTGAATAAGATTTAATTTACTTTATTTTAATCATTACACCACCCCATGCACACGTTTAGCCCTAGTTAACATCAACCTCAACTTTTTCATTTCGAATAACTATGTCTGAAAAAAAATATTAACATAGGAGGTTAAAGATTTATTTGGGTCTAATGTTAAATATTTTAATGTTTGATTAAATAATTATTTTATTATATATATATATATATATATTAGAATATTTTGACCATCAACATTATATTTTAGAGTAAAAAGATCTTTTTGTAGATAAAAATTATTAGTTAATAAACACCATTCTAAAATATATATCATGTACCGAAACTTCGAAAGAAAATAAACTAACTTTGGTCTCATCTAAATCATGGGAACAGTTTACCTAATGCAAATATGAGAATGGGAGATTTTTATTTTGTAACATATGTTTTGCAAAGTCCAAATTGGTGTTCGACATTATGCACCGAAAACACAAGGATTTGCATGTCCCACTTAAGACCACAAGGAGGAAACCAAATTAGACACGAGAAAGGAGGATGTTCTTTTCTTGTCCTCTAATTGGATGCCTAAATGAAGCTTTTCTATTATTAATAATGCATATTAAGTCAAAAAAAAAGTGTTTAGAGCACAGCTGCAAATCATAGTGTTAATTATGTGTTCAAATTGTCTCAACTTCTTTTGGGGTTTCTTCTATCTAAAAAGCTCCGCAAAAAGCCCTAAATAAAGTTCATCCCGACATCCTTTGTATGTTTGATATAATAATTCGAATTCACTAATGTAAAGGTGACCTAATATTAAGGGTCCAAGTTTACGAAGTTTGATATTTTATGTTTGGGTTTTATCTGTTGCTTGTGTGTCCCTCTGTACATTTATTTTGATATTAATTTGGACATGTTTTAATTATAAACGAGGTTATAATCCGTGACGGATCCGCACTTTAGTGAGGGTGGATAAATACTCAATTTGAAATTTGATTTTTCTTCGACTAATTATATATTTTATGTTGTGAATATATATGTGTGGTCATCCTTACAAAAATTTAAATATGTTATCAGTTATAATATACCAGATGTGTTATTTAGGGTTTATAATTTACAACTACAAGTTTTAGAGATTAGGATTCAAATAAATATGTGTGCGAAATATTAATTTTTTTATTAAGTATGTCAAACATTATTGTTCATTATCGGTGCATGAAATAATAACAATTTAAATTGATATCTAAATTTGGCTTTATGGTTTAATATTGTTTAAATAAAATCGCTTATCTTAAGTACTAATATAGACAAAAAAAAGTAGCTTCTAATACTAATTCCAACCAACAAGTCAAATTCATGTATATAATTGAACCCAAAAAATAGATAGAAAATTAAACCTTATAATCAAGTTTAGATGCCTAATTGGATAAAACAAATTTATGTTTTAAATTGCATATTAAAGTTAAGTTTATATACTAAAATATATATCAAACCAAAAATTTAATATCATTGAAATCAATAATAGAATAAAATAATAATTTACTTAATGATAGAGTGACAAATTTACTAGAATAATGTTTTTAAATAAATTTATGAAGTCTCAAATTGTTGAAATGCATGATTGGTATGGTAATCATGGACGAAGCCCACAAATTTATTGCAAAAAAGTGTACCAAGTTGTTAACATCATTGTTATTGGGCTTTTGAAGCAATGCCTTAAACTATTGAGAAAGAACATTCATGCTTAACAAATCAAATGTTTTGAAATGTTTTAGATAGTATTTTACTGAATATGTTAACAAATTTGATAAAACGTCCAATAATAATATTTCCGATAAAAATAATAATATTTTAAGTAATTTTTTATCAAAAATGTTAAAAAAATAATAACATTGCCGGTAGTGCATTACCTTAACCATATATTAGACTGCCACACGTGAAACTTCCCCTCATCATTGTTTTGAAGTTGATTATCATCATTCAAAATGCACCCATGAGCGGAGTTACAAAATCCAATTAATTACTTAGACAAACAAATAGAAAGCAGTAAATTAGCTGCAAAGCCCAGCAATTTTCTTTTGAAGGGAAAAGAACATGAAAGAAGCATGATTAAGAGATGATTGTTATCTCTAAAGATTTCAGATTCGAGCACATCTGTAGGGGTGTTTGAGTTTTCGATGTCAATAGGAGCGTACACATAACTTCATATTAGAGGAGGTGAACTTATAAAAGTTTAGGAGAGGCGGAAACATATTTTTAGTAGAAAATATAAATAAAATATTTAAGATATATAAAATTTTAAAAATTTTAGGGGACGATCTCCCTCCTTTAAGTCCATCTCTAATCGTCAAAAAATTGAAAATTTTTCGAACATATATTTTACAATCACATCCTAAATTAATTATAAAAAACAATTTCACTTTTTTTTGGGTCACTTTTGAACCCGAAAAATAACATTTAATCAACTGCATCCTTCCTGTAAAACTCAGTTGTATGTTACTGCACATTGCATCAATTACTGAAAATAGCTGAACTCATCTCCCCCTTTGTAGCAGCCCCATATATTTTATAAATATGTATAATATTTATTAATGAATATTAATATTATCGATATATGCAATATTTAAACATAAAATTTTAAAAAATAACAACAAAATTTTCAATTATTAAAATTATTTAATTCACGATAGTATGACTTTTTATATAGCTTTTACAGCCTTTGTTGTATTAGCCTGATTTTTTCTAAAAAAGAAAAAGGAGTGTCGATTTCACACACGAGCGGCACCTAGTGATCCTCAGTTGACCGGCCCAAACCGTTCATTGCGCCAGCTAGGGTGGGGTGCGGGCAGTGATAGACCGAGGAGTGCTGAGGATTACAATCGTACATCTTTAAATTTTCAAATTCTCACTCAACTGTCCGTTTATTTTAACGGAGGAAATAAACATAAAAAGGTATCACAACGTTAAAAAAGCTCGTTAGTCGTCGCCGTCGAACCAAAACTGCCGGCAACCATTTACCGACGAAAACAGATCGGGGGAAAACAAAATGAAAACTAAACGCTCGATACAAGAGGGTCCAACAACAATAAATCGTCGATTTCTTCAAAATAATCGTCCACTTGATCATCCCCTAGAGAAATAGACGACGAAGATAAAGGCGATGAGTAGCACTCAAACTCTATAGATGTGCCGAGTAAAATGTCATCCAACACTTTACTTTCTGACAAAATCGTTGAACTATCGTTAAACAGTGACAATTCCGGAACCGGATCATTGAAGAACTCATCGAGGAAAGGGAAATCGAGAGGCAAATAATCTCCAAAATCACTGGTTGCCGGTTCTTGAACCTGCGGCGACGGCTTACTTTCTTCCTCTTGGAGCTCATGGCCCGGTCTCTCGGGTTCGACCGTTGTTTTTTCTTCGCTCGATTGAGTTTGGAAGTCGAAGACTGAAGTGGGAGACGAAAGATTGCGAGGTGAATCGTCTCCCGATTGGTACCCGGAAACCGATGGCTTGTCGATGTTTTCTGGTTTTCCGATATTATCTTCAGCCGGAGGGGTGATGAAGTTTGTTAAAGCGTTGGGACCTCGGAGCTTGATTGCTGCATTATCGTAAACCAAGGCAGCTTCTTCAGCAGTGTTGTAAGTACCCAACCACAGCCGTACGCGGCGAGCGGGGTCTCGAATCTCCGCCGCCCATTTTCCCCACGGCCGTTGTCGTACACCTCTGAACTTCCTCCCGTTCCCGTTCGATGAAGAAAGCTTGAGTGGTCTACGGTTGGGCTCCGAGACGGCGGCTTTCCTTTTCCGGGTATTACCGGGGACGGTAGTCTTGGAAGCGGCGGACTCGATGCTGATCTCGTTGATATATCGTTTCACTCTCTGCCGGCGACAATGGAAATCGGCTTCGTCGTCGCTGGAAGAGTCCGTTGCGTCGGGGTCCGTCACCGATACCCGAACAACCTTCGTGGACTTGGAAGAATGTTTTCTGAACATTTTCGTGAGGGTTTTGTGCTGGGTGTAAGTGATCGGAAATAGCAAATCTTGGTCCATTTCTTAGAATGTTTTTTGGTACCAATGGCGAGTAAAATGGAAGGAACAGCGAAGAAGAAGCTCAGATGAAAAACACAAAGGCTGAATCAGAAATCTGCAAAAAGGGAATCAAAGCATGCAGAAAAACAGTAAAAAAATTGTTGCAAAAAGTTTTATCTTTTGGAGAAGAAGAGACTTCAAACTGAAACATCTAAGAGGTAGAGAAGGAAAGGCTATGTGGTATTTAAAACAAAAACAACTAAACCATTGTCAACGAAGAGTAAATGTTCACATCCAAAAAGTTTACTACACTGAACTGTTAGTCACTTTTATTAAGTCGGTAAAAGTGTGATTACTGATTAGACAAAAGCAAAACACCTTTGACCGATGAAAACTCCAAAGTCGTCTATTAAACCACAACGGTTCTCCTTTTTATCTGGCCCTTTTGTTCAAAATCAAATGACTTTGGGTTGTTCATGTTATTTTTCTTGATCTATATTCTCTATGATCTTTATTAATGTACTGGAAAAACATATATTATTGTGTGGCTGCGGTTTCTGGTGTTAGAATTTTGATGCCGAAGATGATTCGATTGATGGAGTTGGCTGCGATGCTGTGCAGGTGAAAAGACAACAAAATTTGAAAGAAAAGTCGATTGTTTTTCTTTGCGGTGCCCATCTGTTTCCCTAAATATAAGTTTGCTGACAATTCAAAGGAAAACGTCGAAGGATTTAACAAATGTGTGGCCAACGTTGCAACAAAACAGAACGTCTTATCATTTGTATTCATGATTGTTAAAATCACTCCGTCTTTCACATTATTTTATAATGGCTAAAATGTACAAAAGGTGTCTAATATATGTATTTTTTAGTTTCGTGTCTAATATTTATTTTATTTCACTTTGGTGACTAACGTTTTATTTCGTTAATCATTTAAGTGTCGGGCCGTCAACATCATTAATTTCTCCATTAAGTGACACGTATCATAATCTTGTAATTTTAAAAATTATATTTAAATTTAAAATTATAATTATAAACATATATTTTTTAAAAAAATATAAATTTTGAAATAAACCCAAAACTTTGAAAACCTTCATTTCAACCCCTAAACACATGTCGACTATTGCCTTTTGCCATCGACGAAGCTCCACCCAACCTCCCCTCCCCTCGGCGACCAAAACTCCCATGAAATCGTGATCGATCGACGACCAATCGATGACGAATTAACGTTTTATACCACGCAAACCCTATGATGAAAATCGCGATCCTGATGATCGATCAGTCACGATTTCATGGAGCTTTTTGTGGCCGAGATGAGGGGAGGTCTGGTGGAGCTTCGTCGATGGCAAAAGATGTCGGTCGATGTGGGTTTAGGGGGTTTTCAAAGTTTTGAGTTTATTTCAAAATTTGTTTTTCTTTTTAAAAAATATGTTTATAATTATAATTTTAAATTTTAAATAAATTTTTTAGAATTACTAGGGTGTGACACGTGTCACTTAACATCCAAACTTAACGGTGGATCACAACTTAACCCATTTTGAGTAACGGAATGAAACGTTAGACACCAAACTGGAACAGAATAAACGTTAGGCACTAAACTGAAAAATAGGCATAGGTTGTACACGTTTTGTATATTTAAGCCTTTTATAATCTCAGTTTGAATTATAAATTATTTTTATTAATATGGGTGAGTACAAAATACTATATGTTCAAAGATAACTCTCAATTATTTGACATTGAACTCTTACACCCCTGACATTCCTAGTGCTCGAACCCGAGACATCAAGGAACGACAACAATTCTTTTACCACTAAGATTGTAACACCCCCAACTCGTATCCGACCCGGATCTGAGTCCGAGGTGTCACATTGACTTTTCAAAACTTATATTTGTATACCAATATGAAAATTCCACTTTTATTCAATAAAAGTTCATAATTCATATCATTAAAATAAAAGTATCTTCAAAATTGATCAGAGCGTATATAATTCAAAACATTAATTACATGCCAACTATTTCCAATAACCAAATACAAATAATTCTAAACTTTTTTCTGATCTGATCATAGGAAAGGAGAGGTTGACCTGCCTTGCCTTGACTATCCCTGCTTCGCTTCTCTATTTGCTTCTAGAAACCTACGTGTGAAACACTAACACGTTAAGTCAATGACTTAGTGAGGCATATAAAACGTATAAGGTAACTATAACTCTTAACAATTAATGCATACTTCATACTATCAAATTATAAAACCTCATATACACATTCATGTAACAAATACATACATACAACTATATCATCGTATCATATAGTATTGTGTACTGTTTCATGTTCATATAATCATTTATTTTACTTTACTCAACTTATATCACATTCTCTTGTTATCCTTTAACTCATTCCCTTTTTCATAATTCTTAGTCATATAATATTTATACCATAGTCATCTATCTTATTTCTTATTTCCATTTACTTCTATTTATCATATAACTCATAGACTCTTGTTACATATTCTATATCATATCCTTGTGTACTAATTCTTTATATTCTATTAGTTCATTTTTCACACAATTTGTCATATAAACATATTATTATAACCTATCAAAAATTTTAATTTTTATAATGTTCTCATATGATTTCATTTCCTAGATCTTTGTACTATGTTTTATATCACTTAAGAGTTGAACTAGTTTTAAATCATCATTTCCTTGAAACATATGGAATTTTCTATACGACTTATTTCTATACATATTTCCTATTTGATGTACTATTTATTTATCTCCATTAATTTATCTAAATTCTCATTTTCAAGTATAATTCTATTATCCTAGTTCATCTACAAAGTATATTCTCACTAGACAATCATAACTATTCTATTCATATAATCCTATAATCCATCATTTTATTACATATACCTATACTTATGGAATTCATAACATTTCTCATGTAATTACTTGAAACATATCATATAAGTTCATTATAATCTCTTACATTTCAACATATCAAACAAACATAATTTTTAACATAGATAATAACATATGCAATACATACAACCATTACACTCATATTCAAACACACAATTACATAACAATTATATCAAATTTATTTCTATTATCTCTTTATTAGCCCATGTACATTACTGAGAACTTAAGGTATGTGAGTACTGTGAGGTTGTGCACTATGTTGTCACCATAGTTCGTATAAATGCACCGAAGTGCCACGTAGAATTGCACCAAAGTGCCACGTAGAATTGCACTGTAGTGCCATATAATATGTCCCTAAGGACCACGTAGAAAATTCCTTAAGAATCATATATATATGCTAAGGACCAAATATGTGTCTCAAAAGACCTCATACATGTTCCAAAGAATACATATATGTCTCGAATGACCGCGTAGACCCTCTACTCTTGGCATACCAAATATACCTATAGCTCTCACCTCATATAACATGGGCATTATTTCTTAACATTTAATATCTTCACATGTTCATATCACATATGCATATAATTTCATGTCATATTCTCATATGGTTACATAGATCGTATAACATTTTCGTGTGATCTCATAGTTTATCATTTGTTCTCTTATGGTTACATATATCATATAACATATATATATATATATATATATATATATATTCACACATCATATGCACATGTTCATATCATTCCTTATGTCCATGTCATATAACTTATATAATCATGCAAATCACTTATACCAGTTCATCGTACCTATCACACTATCATATATTCATATAAATCATGTAACATATACAATAACATATTACTCATACACCCATAACAAACACGTAATCAAGTTCATGAATTCATGCATAATAATATCAGAAATAGACTTGTCGCAAGTCTTATTTCTATTAAACATCATATAATATCTAATATGCACTCACCTGGCCTCACTAGTCAATTCGATCTCTTATCTTTCCCTTGATCGATTCTACTGGGCAATTGTTTTGAAACTTGTTTAGGCTCTGAATCTACATAAATATAATTTTCAAAATGATTATCAGATGCCTAAACCTTGTAATTAACTTTTAATAGCTTAAACAAATTTAAGGAATTAATGTTTCATTTTTCCTTTAGGGGGTATCGATACCCTATTGGGGGTATCAGTAACCTCATAACATTCTGTAATTTTTCGTTCAAGGGGGTATCGGTACCCATCTGGGGGTATTGGTACCCCTATGATATTTTGAAATTTTCTCGTTTGAGAGGGTATCGGTACCTGTTGAATGGGTACCGATACCCCTTGCCCAGAATTCACATTTTAAGCTCGAAAATCATACTAAACTCACTTAATTCTTCTTATATAATCTCATTTTAACCCTTTAAACTTAACTACACTTAGCCTAGCCCACTTATATCTTTTGAACTCAACTTAGTATCCCATATTTCATCTTAAATTTGGAAACCAAGAATCTTACCAATTTCTCAACGTGTTCTAAATTCGTTTCTAACACTTTGAATTTCTTATTTTGACTGATGACAAGTCAAATTTGACTTCCAACTTCAATTACTAACTCTTTTCCAAGATTTCAATTTGAAACCTCTTATTTTCAATCTCTCATAACTTGATAATCTTTGAGTTTTAATCCATCTTAAGCTTTCCTTAGTATTTTCTATCACTCTAACAATCAAAACCAACTTTAAAACGAAAGAATTAATCAACTTGAAACCAACTTACCTTTGCCATGGAGCTTACGTGAAGAGAAGAGGAAGAATATAAAACAAGCTCCAGAATTTTCTTTCCTTTCTCTCTATTACCACGTGCTGCTCTCCTATATAAAGAGAGAAATAAAATCATTTCTTAGAAAAGACCATTTTACCCTTGTTACTTTCAAACTTTGTTATTAAATCCAACATCAATACTTTTCATTTAAGTCCCTAAACTTTGTCTTTTCTGAGACTGGTCACTAAATTTTAGAATCTTTCAATTTAGTCACTAACCCCGATTTTAGGATATTACAAAGGTCGCTCGGTTTGTGCTTAAATTATAAATTAGATATAAAAATTTGGGTAAACTAAACTAGATACCACCGAACACTAGGC